GCCTTTGATCTCTATTTGCTGCGAAATTTGGCGATTTTTGCAGCAACGGAGCGTGTTAAATATAGATATATAAAACGCACCCGGTATTTCACAGTGTTTCAAGTGACTTCAGATAAAGTATACGTAAATGTTCTATCTAGTCAACATAAATGAATTAGTGCATTTCTTTTTGTGGAATCCAGTGTTTTAATCCACATCCAAAAGAACCCAGAAGAACGCTACATTATTGTGTATTATTAATATTGCTTTATTGTCGTCAAAGATACCAGACGGTCATTTTAGGAATGAAGAAAATGATAAATTTCCCGAAAGAAGGCAGCCAATTAAGTCCATTTTGTTAGATTTGGCTCGAGAAAAGGAATCTTTCTTTAGAGGAAGATCACAATAGTGTTTTACAAGCAGTTGCTGAGAACTCTGAGATATCAACTAGGCATATTGGGAAAAATATAGGAGTAGCCAAATTCACAGCTCAATTTATTTTGCATAACAATAGCTATCACCCCTTTAAATTCAGGTTTTGACAAGAACTTGGACCAGGTGATAGCGAACGGTGCTAGCATTTTTGTGAGTGGTACACACGAACGTGTGAATAAGATTTCAATTTCCCTTCAAAAATAATATGGTCCGACGAGAGTATGGTCACTAATGGTATCTTCAATCGCCGTAACACTCATTACTGAGCTCAAGATAACCTGCGGGGTAAAAAAGTATTCAGACATCAAGGGTTTAATATGTGGTGTGGAATTCTAGGGACCAAAATATTAAGTCCATTCATTTACCACAACTCATTAACTGCAGAACAGTACCTTCAATTGTTGCAACCATATCCAGAAGACTGCCCGGATAATTCACCTTTGGCACAGGTTAATATAGGTTGGTTTCAACAAGCTGGTGTTCCTGCAAGTTCGAGAGTATCTTTTTCAGCGAACAAGATTAATTGGAACCTCCAGTGAAGTGTCCTGGCCAGCGCGTTCCCCGGATTTAACTCCTCTGGACTTTTTTGTTTGGAGTTTTATTAAAAACCAAGTTTATCAGCATACTTTTGAAACACAGCAGCAGTTACGAGAATGTGTAATGGAAGCATTTATACTAAGTGACATATAAATCCGAACACCCAGTTTAAATGGTTTTATTTTAATAAAATTTTGTATAAGTACTTAATGAAGCTTAATAAGTAAATGATAAAAATTTCACAATGATTGCACTGCTTTGAAGCCCTTTGACCTTTAATAATGTGTGGATGCACCCTGATGCGCTACGCATTCTCCAGCGCGCCTAGGCATGCTTCTGATCAGGTGGTCATTGCCCTCCTGTGGTATCTCATTCCAGGCAACCACCAACTCCTCTCCAAGTGCTTCTAGAGTCTGAGGAGGACGTTGCAAATTGAGCAATCTCCTACCCATCATATCCCACACGTGCTCAATTGGGGATAAGTCGGGAGATCTTGGTGGCCATGGTAACAATGTGACATCATTATGTAGAAAGAAGTCTATTGTGACTCTTGCAACATGTGGTCGGGCATTATCTTGTTGGAAAGTTGGATCTGCCAGGGTGTCAAGATAGGGTAAAAGATGGCGTTCTAGAACTTCGTGGATATAACGCTGCGCGTTCATGTTACCTCTGATGACGATTAAAGGTGACCTGGAATCATAAGCTATAGCACCTCAAACCATAAATCCAACAGTGTGATGAACATGTCTTTCAACAAAAAACTGTGGATTCCTCCTTTCACCACGTCGCCTTCTAACCCTGGCACGACCATCGTGCATGCCTAAACAAAATCGAGACTCGTCACTAAAGACAATACTGTTCCATTCCTGATACCAGAGTGACCGTTGTCTGCACCACTCAAGGCGATTACGTCGGTGTGCTCGAGTTAAAGGGAGGACCCAGTGTGGCCGGTATGAAAACAAGCCAAAACTTCTCATTCGTCGGTAAACACTTCGCATGCCAATAGGTCTTCCGTGTTCTGAAAACCATTCATTTGCAATGGACCTGGTAGTGGAGAAACGGTCCCTTAAGGCCAATAATCTTAGGCGGCGATCTTCACGGTCTGTTGTTCTACGGCGGCGTCCTGTACCCCTTGCTCTTTGCGTACGGCCTTCTCGAAGCCATGCCTGACAACACCTAACCACAGTGTCTACACTTCTTTGCACTCTAACTGCAATTGCCCGAAAAGAAAGTCCAGCTTCCCGAAGTTCCACTATACGGCCCCTATCAAACTCACTAAATTGACGAAATCGTACAGGTCTCCGTACTCTAGGCATCGTAACCGATCGTAAAGGATGTCAAGAACCGAAATCCGCCAACGTTGATTCTTTACTGCGGCTGAAATATTCATTTTTAGAGCGTTAGTGAATTAAAAAAAAGCAGTATAAAAACCGGAATGTCCAACTGATAAGGCTGAAAATTTTTTCACTTGTTATTTACAGTAAGATAAATACATTCACCAACTTTTATTAAAATAAAACCATTTAAACTGGGTGTTCGGATTTATATGTCACTTAGTATAGTATGACCACGCCAGAAATGTTATGTAACGTGTTGAATTTTACTGTTAAAAGATCATATTTATGTTTATAAAATAATAGCAACCATACACACACACCTATTGTCAATAAAATAAAAATAATGTTAAAAATGTGATTGTTATTCTGCATATCATTGTATCATCATTTTATAAAATTTTACACCATCATATCAATATGTAATATGAAATATTACGTGTAAGAAATCAAATTTAACATGCGATACATCGTTGAATTCGTAGAAAAAGATCCTATTAGGTACAGGGTGTACTTTTTTCGGACCGTATCAAAAAATAAAGTTGATGATGGTTTCTAAAAAACGACACGTCAGGCAGAAACAACATCATGCAGTGCCTAAAAACTGTCAATGAAAAAGTTCCATAAGTTTTTTGATATTTCCTAAAATGAAGTCGGAAAATAATAAAAACGATTTGGTCAAATTTTAGTTTTGACCAAGTTTCTCAACATCAGGTGAATACGCCCCAAAGAACGTTTTATTAATATAACCTAAGCTGTATCTCCAGGTATTGAGATCCCCATACATAGGATCCTTATGTTGTATATACATTATTACACAGCTGGGGTACCAATGGAGTCTACATAACGTGACCAACCTGCTGTTACCTAGCGAGGATATGTTACCAGTTCAAACAGTGTAAGTTGTCTACAGGAGGATAGGGAATTAAGTTACAGGTCACATTTGTCGTGTCATTTTGTATTCACTAGTATTAAATCAATATATCAGAGTATAAAAAGGCCCGAGTACAGCACCCGAACTAAGCCTATACCCTATATACGTTAGCATGTCGTCTACGGATACAGCAGATGAAATTGAGAATATTTCTCCAATGCTTCCTCTTCAGTGATGTCTCCTCCCCGAAAACGTGACAAGAAGGGACATTTGAATATTCAGGCAAAAGAAATTGGCCTTAACGTTTATAAGAGCGAAATTTTAGAGCATCATGATATTGAAAGACGTGTGGCGAACAACAAAATGTTACTAGAGCAATTTCATACTTTACAGGTCCATAACGCTCCTCCATCATTGCGAATTGAGTTAGTAACATGAGATTTGTAGCTTGAAATAAAATTGGGGAATTTGTTTGTCAGTAATAATTATTCATTGCATTTTCGCTACTTTTTATGTTTTTGGAATCATTTTGAACAAAAAGTAGTAACTTATCTCTGAAGTTGATGGTTTTCGAGTTATAAGCGATTTTGTGTCTGAATATAACATGCATCTTTATTGCATCATTAACATCACAGCTTAACATTAAAGAGTGTGATGAAAATGGCCAATAACCATTAACGTATGTCCTAAAAGTTTTGTCACAAAATAATTATCGGATTTTTTTTTAATGAAGGCATTTATTTAAACACTAACTAGTTAGCATAAATTACAACTTGATACTTAATTGAACTATACTATCGAATTATGTGGAGAGGCCCATTCTGCTCTACCAGACGCAACTGTCTTCGAATGTCTCTCATGAGGTCCTGGATGGAATTCAGATCAATTTTTCGTAAACTTGTTCTTCTAGACAGTAAAGCCCAAAAATCCTCTATTGGGCGAGCCTGTGACAAGCTTGGAAGATTATCGTTTTTAGGAACAAAAGGTATGTTGTTGACAAACTGAAGCAATTTGGGAAGGCAGTTATCAATATAGCTCTGACTATTCAAAGATTCACCCCTCACTCTTCCCACAAAAGGTGGGGATACACCCCTGTTAGAAATTGCGTACCAGACATGGATTTCATCTGCAAATTTCGCTTCATGTTTGTAGCTAACATTGCCAAGGCATTCCACTACGTCATCCGTATAAAATCCGTCGTGTCCTTACATTTCAGAATTACTCAAGGTGAAATACTTCTCATCATCTAAAATAATGATTTCTCCATTGGCAAAGTGTACCTGCCTCAGTTGACGACAGCATCTTGGTATAAGGAGTTCCGCTTGAGAGTATTTGGGGCACTTCAGTCTCTTTCGATATTTAAGACCATTCCTCCTCAATTCCAACGAAATCGTACTCGATCTGTATTGACGAGCTAGTCTCCTAGCTGACCTTCCAACCTGACTTGTTTTCTTCTCACCAATCTCTCTGACCTCTGTGCAGTAAATGCATGTGGTCTTCCAGTTTTTGGGAGATTCAGACACGATATTCCCTGCTCGCACTCCGCTATTGTTCGATAAATGGTTCCGCGTGCAATGTTTATTCTGGAATATTCGACAGATTTAAGCTTTGGGTACACTCCCAACCAATTTATAGATACTTTTTCTTATTTCTAATTTATATGACATCTTAAAACGAAAACTTCAAAATAAATAAATGCCAACTGACAATAAAGTAAACAAACTTTTGTTTCCAAAGGCAACTTGATATCATTTTGTGTTTGTTAAAATTAAAGCCAATAGACTTTGTGCCAAACCTTTTAGAACATACATTATATTAATATGGATTATAGAAATATTTACCTTCTCATGAGCAGTAAAAGTGCATCCATCCAGATTGCACATCCTGTGCTCGGACATATGCTTGTTGTAAGCATTCTCATCATAAAACTCCCTGTCGCAAGTATCACAGTATAGAGTCATTTGATTCTCATCCTCACAGTCAAAGTATTCCCATTCTTCAGTTTCTTCAACCTCCACTTCTTCATCATTGAAGTCTTCGTAATCGACCCATCCATCTCTCTATGGGAAAATGGTTTGAATGAAATGTCTGTATTTTCCAAATTTTAAAATATATTATACAGGCAGGTTATGGCGAGATATACTACATCTGTTCTCAGAGCCTGATAACTTGGATTTTCTTTACTTTTGACAAGATTGCAGCACCCCAGATTTTTTGTTGAGTTCTAAGCTTTAATGGAGGAGTTTCAGAGTCCTCAAAAGAGTGGCATGGCGGTAATGACACACTTATTCAGTAACTGTGCAACATTTGCAAGTCCACTGGAACCGTGTTATTAAAGAAATAAATGAGACATCAAGACAGCACCAACACTCTGTTTTACGTTTAATTATCAAGTTTTACTATAGATCTACTGCTACAACCCAGTGAGAACCCTCTCATTAGGCATTAAACATCATTGAAACATTGAGCGAGTTGGACTTTGGGGTATTAAATTGTCACGGGCAATCAACATTTTTCTTTTTTGATACTTGATGTTCCCAAAGCTCAAAGTTCGCGACTTTGTCCATAGTTCACCTAGTTTTGAATACCTAACTCAGTATTTTTATATGAGCACATCATCGCAACATTTTCTACTTCAAATCTGATATAACAAAAAACACTAAGATAAAAAAAATAAAATAAAAGTGTTACTGTTACTCCTCTGCATTCACATTAAAAATCAAAGTTGAAGTTGTGTAATGATTTTCGTTTCAACTTTTGTTTTTATTGTTAGTGCACTGGAGTAACACTTTCATTTTTAAATATTTTCTGTCATAGAATGTTTTATTACAGATTGAACTAGAAAGTGTTGCAACCATGCACTCATAAAAATCATATGTTAAATATTCGAAAATGGGTAAATATTGGACAAAATTTGGACTTTTAGGTTAGAAAAAAATCACGTACTAAAATAAAAAAGAATTATGAAAGCTTAAAATACATGTTATAATATATAAATGGAAAAATGTTATAGATGTGATCAGCTTGAACTTTAGAAATACAGTTACTTTCAGGGCCAAAAATCCTGTTTATAGACCATGACCTTTCCAAAAGCAACTTCATTGCTCATTTTCGATAAAAAAGCTTTTTAGAAGAACTATTATGATCTGAATGAGTGTAAAAAAATCTATAATGCGCCAGGATAAAAAGCACCCATATTTTAAAATTTTATTCAAGCCAGTGTGTATAGGGATTAAAATTTTCAACCTTTCAAATGGTCGAGAAATGAAACTCGTAATTCATCGAGGAAAATTTTTGTGACCGAGATTATTCCAGCCAGCAGATCTTGATATGGCTAGGTCTGTACCTGTTATGTGGATAATATTTGGATTCAGACAGCCATGACTTGTTAACTAGATAAAAGAATTATTCTGAACTGTACTTCATCAAACACAACCATCACAAAACTCTATCCTTCTGTCTTTATTCAGTTCTCATGTTTATCATTCACTCCTTTGCATTGTCAAATTCGCCATAACCCATCTGTTGATAAAAAACCTTTCAATGTTTGACATGCCCATTGCTAAGATATCATATCTTTACCAAGGTCACAATGCACATAAACTTATTTTGAATCAGGTATTGAAAATTGTAAGAACCCATTTATTTCATTGAAAAGTTTTGTAAAAACATCATCAAAATTAGGGGTCAACATATTGCATCTGAAAAAGCCAATTTGAATTTATTATAAGTAGCACTAGGCCACAATTCTTGAAGAACATCATATCCCCTCCAATTCTGAAGATATAAACATTAAATGAATGACAACTTATGAATGGATTAATCTTACCTCTTTCATATTAACAGCAGATTTTCCAACATGATTGAAAACATATTGAAACAAAATCTGTCCATATTATTTTAATATGATGCCACTGTTTTTTAAGATAGCAAAGCACTAAATCAGTGCTTGCTGGTTAAAAAAATGTTTATCTGTTTACTCTAAGATAAAATTATTAACTCCTTTAAGTAAATTCATTCCTCAAAAACTGTCATAGTAATAATTAAAATGAATAATTTGATTAATAAAATTGGAATCACAAATCCAAAAAAAGAGATAAGAATATGCTAACATTAGAACATGTGTACTCTTCTCAAAGAAAGTTGATGATTTTATCTATGATCAATGTCAACATTGCCTAGTTATGCACCCTCATATTTCAAAAATACTTGAAAAGATTGAGTTTGTGATAGTCAACATTTTGCAGTTATTGAGGAGATGCAAAAATATATTGATAACTTGCACAAATCAACACACATTTTAAAAATCATCTGACCATATTACTGAAAGATATGAAGAATTATCTTTGTCATATCTCAGAGTAGCGCTTCAAGAGCCTCTGAAATAACCCAAAAATATCTGATGAAACAAGCTTCATTGAAAGATTTGTAAAGAGTTTGCTGGTGAGATTCCCATTCCCCTGTAGTGCTAGTTGTAACTATAAAAACACCCAAGCCAAAATAATAAATAATTTATACCTAAAGAGAGACCTATTATTAAAGTAACAATTAGTTCCACTCTTATATGTGCCCAAAAGGCTTTTACTAGTTTGATATACCCAAAAATTTGTGCTTTTTTGTTTGGAATATATTCTCATGTTACAGCACTGATTATTCTATTAATTTATAAAATTAGTCAACAGGTAACGAGTCATAACTGAACCTGGACTTGTTACAGTTTATCACTTTTCCAACAATAGATTAAGCACATCAAAAGATGCTAACATGTTAATACTGAAATGTCCCTCAAAATGATGATACACAAATGGTTGATGCATAATGTAGATAAGCAGACAAATACACGTCTGGTTTTTCATATGATCCAATTTTATTGCCATTACTTGACACAAATAAGGTCACTCCTTAAGTAGAGACTCTCTAAAAAACGAAAAATGCACCATAAAAATTATACAGAAAACATATGGTAGAGCAAGAATTGTGTACTCAGCTTAATATAATCAAATATCAGAATATGTATAATAGCTGATATATCTTTAGATTAGACTGATTTTACTGGTTTTTATATACATGCCAGATAGATATCCCAGTTAATAGAAACTGAAAAAGCACAGGTAAATACTGAATGAAATAAATCAAGTATCTAAAAGTATCTTATGAAATGGTTTTATTCAATATAACTTGAGTTTTACATCATAATAAAAAATCTTCCATAGAGAGGGAAGTCTAGTTGTTCATCTCACTAATTAAATGAATAAAATACAAAATCTGTCAAGTTTCCTTTTGCACTAAATGACCTTGGAAAAGAAAATTTTCCAAAATGATAGCAATCTTCTAAATATTGCCTGATAACGTCTATATATCTATCTATATTACATTTAATTTTCCAGAGATACATGGAAAGCACAAATTTTACAACTACTTTTTCACTGACAAACACTAGAATACTATTTTTATATAATATATAAAATGAGAAATGTTCAATAAATAAAATTTAATTTAAGTGACTGTGGCCAATTTTGTTGTATTTATTTTAGCCATTTAGCTGTTGCACTGCATCATTTGAAGATTCTGATATTGGGGTAGTCACATTTGTTGATTGCTGAGACGAGTCATTTTGACTGTCTGAATTTTTGCTCGTCTCTGCACTTTTGCTATTGTCCTGTAAAGATACCCAATAAATTTAGGAGAGTCCATAGGAAATTAAATATGTTACTAGAAAAAAAGTACAAATCAAAAGGCTTATATCCAAAACAGTTATGTAAATTTAATGAATATTGTTGCCATAAATTGAATGTAACTAGATACATTTCATAAGTTAAAAAAATATTAGAAAAGAAATGTAGAAATGTGTTTATTGCTCTAACACGGAAACTTACTGTTAATAAATAATAATACAATAAGTACCACAACAAACTTAAGGTGAAGGTAGGCTTTGGGCTGACCTCCCAAATAAGAAAAACTTACCTATATAAAAGTGTCACCACTTTTGAGATACTGATTTTTTTCTTAAATTATAAGAAACAAACATTTTCATCTGTGGTCTTTAGCTGCATGTACTAATAAGGTTATACTTTGTTCATTTTTTCTAAAAAATACTCCTAGATAGTTGCTTTATCATATACAAATGCAATGTAGTTAAAAGATATAAAGGAACCATGATAAAATGAGGACTGTGGATTTATAACCTTCTGATATTGTTTCCTCAACTTTCATAAAATCATATCAGGAGCAGGTAATAATAATGAAGCTTTGTACTATTTAGCATGTCACTGATCAGTAACCAGTGCAACTTGAATTTAAATCCAATAATTACATTATAGTGTGTGTCAGTCACTTACAAAAGCAGCTATCACTTTTTTCTATTCCAAATAGTAGGTGTGGTGCCTTTCTGAAATCTGTATTCAATGAGCAATCTTTTTATTCAATATAATGCAGTTATAGCCCAGTACATTTTTGTTTCACCCTAGATGGTCAAAGTTGAGGAAAAATTATCAGAAAGTTATAAATCGCAAAATATTCCTTATTTGATCATGGTTCCTTAACAGGTTTAGCGCCAGGGCATACACCGGTGTCAGCTGTGAGGTTCTCCGACTGGGCCATGGCATACACCGGTGTCTGCTCTCGCTTCGCAACTTTATCGGCTTGGCACAGCCAAGCAGACACGCTCTTATGTATTTTAATATAACGCAGTGTGGCCCATGATGTCATTTATTGTCATAATAAAAGATACATTTGCAGTGATCTAAAACAAATAATTCGTCGCCTGAATGCAGAACTATTGTATGTCCAAATTCTCCATTTTTCAGATTTTAACACGACATTGTGGGTCATAGTCACCTACATTGCATGCAGAGGTATTATAAGTCCCTGCCCAGGCGTTCCCCCATCACTGGTCTTGAACGATATTTGGCGTAATAGCTTGAGGCGCGTCATTTCGCTGCAGAACTATGATAAGAGCAGATGATCACTTACAGAACTACTGTAAGTCCAATGTCAGCAACAAATATAAGTCCACTTTCACGGACTTGTCATACTTTTTTTCGATAAAACATTCTTTGTCCAAAATTTCGCAGAGATGTTAGGCAATTCGCAAGCGTGAAAAATAGCTCTCCTGTAAAATTTGCATTTTGTGACTTAGAATACTTCTGCATTCAAGCGACGAATTCTAACCTGTAAAGTTTAAAAAATTTCTTAAATGAAATCTAAACTGTATTGCTACTTTCCATGAAAAATATTGAAGCAGTCCAAACAATATCTCGGATTACCTTCGCAAACGGAACAAAACTCTTTTTACCTTACTCTTCCCAATTATACCGTCTTGTTTTTTTTTTATAACAACCTCTACAGTACTGTCTATTCTCGCGAGCTTTACAGTCCAATTTTGAGAAAACGTGAGTACGAAGATTTCGTGTAGGCTGCGGCCTCGGTATCGCTACATCAGGACTTTTGAATGTCAAAAGGTCTTCTATGACTGACATTCGAAATTCGTTTATAGGCATGAAAGTCTCCTTCATTGTGTTTGAAGAGAAAATGTGCATTTACAATCGATGTACCTAATATAGTCTCAATTGCCACCTTTTTGCACCACCGAATTGTGCGACGTAGAGCAGTACTATAACTTGACATTTGGTCGGATATATCAATTGAGGATTTCCCACGATTGTAATCAGTTATGGCTTTCGGCTTGTGAATAACGTGTCCACTCCATTGAACCTGCACTGTGTCATCTGTATGATAAGTAGAAAGGACAAGCACGGCTCTCTTGTGTCACTCCATATTAGAATACAGATGCCCCTCTCATTTTCTTTTGCAGTGATTTCACCTTTTTTCAGTTTTTTCTTTGTAATACTGACGGGATTTCCAGCACGATTGGTCCGCAAGGTGCCCAAGCAATGGGTGTTATTATCCAAGAGTAAATGAGCGAGTTGTAGGCTGGTATACCAATTGTCAGTGATACAGATCCTGCCACTATTCAAAAGTTCCTGAGACAAAGTCATAACAATATGTGAGGAGACTGAAAAATTTCTGTTTTTTGGCTTGCTCTTTTTCTTTTCCCGCATAAATACTAAGGTTCCAAGTATAACCATTATCGCAACACAACTTGAACAGTTTTATACCATATTTATGAGTTTTCATAGGGTTATACTGTTTGAAAAATAAGCGTCCTTGATAGGGTATCATAGTCTCGTCAATACAAAATGTTTTTCCTGGCATATAGAGTATTTTGTAATTTGATATGAGTTTATCTAGTAATGGTTGCAGTTTGTATAGATGATCTCCATCTGGACAAAGTTTATTGTCTGAGAAATGCAGCATTTTTAGCAGTAATTCAAATCTATTACGGCTCATTATATTACGAGCGACGTCATTTTTCAGTAGCCATTTACTAAACCAGTAATCTCGAAGACAATTCATTTTTACAATGCCCATGTATCCCAGTAAACCAATAAAATGTATAATTTCGGTCCTGTCTGTTTGTATGCAAGCTTCATTGGATAGGTTCTCGTTTTCAGTAACACGTTGCATCGCATAATGATTTGTTTGGTCAACAATCAAATCTAGTATGTCAAAATCCACTAAGGAAAAAAAATATTGTACAGGTTTTTCTCCTTTCAGTGCCACCTGCCATTCAACTTTCATTCCACTTGTGAAGGTTTCTGCAAATACTAAATTCTTTCCTTGTACGGTTTTCGTTCGATTAGGCGGGAATACACTGGTATCTGTTTTACTTTCCGGTGAGGCCAAGGCAGACACCAGTGTCTGATTTCTTATCTTGTAAGGCCAAGGCAGACACCAGTGTCTGCTCAGTTTTTCAAAAAACTGACAAATAAAACCAAAATTTTATTAGTCAGTATAGGTCTAAAATGCATAAAGCTGGTAGAAAATCACAAAGAACATATTGGCCCAACGGTATTTTTTAGCCTGGAGGTCCTGGCACTGAACCTGTTAATATCTTAACTAAACTGCATTTGTATATGATAAAGCAACTATCGAGAAGAATTTTATAGAAAAAATGAACAAAGTATAACCTTATTTGTACATGCAGCTAAAGACCACAGATGAAAAGGTTTGTTTTTTTTTTTTATAATATTGAATATCTCACAAATGGTGACACTTTTATATAAGAGAGGTCAGTCCAAAGCCGACCTTCTCCTTAAGTTTGTTGTGGTACTGATTGGACACCTTGTATAAAATTAGAATTCAGCCTGACAATTTTGAAAAAGTCTTATGCTGTATACTCTAATATTTTAAAAGCAATACAGGAATCTGTACAATAAGGTTAAACTGGGAAATTTTCAGTTACATGTTTTGATGATCATGTCGAATATTAAACAGGTAATTTTTTTCACAACTTGATTAAAAGTTTTATTAACAACAATATTCATTTTTTCTATATAAAATAAAAATACTGTTATGATATTAGATACCGACTGCACAGTATTCATCAACTTTTTTGGAAATTAAATAACATCAATAATACTGATGACTCAACAATAATTTCAAAACTCTGTCCAATCGGTTTGATATAAAATGCATCAATTTTCAAAATGCACCTTTTAATAGATTGGCCACAATGTGTTTCATGGGCTTCAGCATAAAAATGAAGGGTGGCAGTGAAATGAATAAAATTGGAAAAACAGCAATCATATTTGTGTTGCAGATGCCCATGATAAATATTGACAATATTCCAGTTTAAAGCATTAAATAACTCAAACAAATCTAGTCATGTAATGTGAAGGATGATTCAAAGCATATTCCCAAGTTATTCAAACATTAAACTGAAACTAGAGTGTCAAATCTGTGCTCTTAAAGACCTCCACTATTGGAAATTGTATGCAACATAGTTGACAGTTTAAGAACCAGCAAAATAAACACATTTATAAACAATAATCTATTATTGCTTATAGCTAATTGAAATTCGGATAACTCTCAGCAACTGAGTTAAAGCATAAAGATTTTACCAATCTCAGTAGTTCAGAGGTAATCTGAATTCAAGGAAGTGCTTCATCAAATGCCACATTTCCCTTACTGGTTCTTAAGCTATTATAAAAAACCACATAGTGGAGGACTGATATATAAATTATGGAAAATAAAGTACCTATAAGCTGACGTCTGCTGTATAATCAATAGGTGCTGTTATTCGCGTGAAATTACTTTCGGGCAATAGCTGAGGAATACGCACCTCCGGTTGCCCAGCAGCTTCTGTCTCTGCTGCCTGGTACAATTTGTTACACTTGTCTCTTTGATCTCGGTACTTCGCCCAGTCATCTTTATCTTGAGAGGCTTTTGCGGAGGTGAGTAGTTCATCCTTCTTCACGAATTCTGCCTTAATAGCTTCCGTTACAAATGATTTGGTCAAATCTACTGTTTTTGCGGGAAGTCTCTTCTTGATGACTTTGCTTTTTTTGTTAACGCCCCTGAAGTTTGGGGGCGGGAAGCGTCCCTTGCCCCGCATGCCACCCCTAAACGGACCGCGCATAGGAGGTGGTAAAGGAGGGCCTCCCATCATCATAGGTAGCGGCGGACGCATGCCGGGCGGTGGAGGGCGCATGCCTGGGGGCGGGGGCCGCATCGGGGGACCCCGGGGGCCCGGACCCATCATCATGGCTGGTGGGGGCATAGGCGGCATGGGCCTACCACGCATCGGGGGCCTACCGCCTCTCATTGGGGGCATCGGTTGCCTCATTCCGCCACGAAAACCGCCTCGACCACGCATCATACCGAAATTCGGCAATGGCGCCTGACCATTAAAAGCACGCCCGCGACCCCGGCCTTTTGTGTTTCCTCTTTGATTGCCTGCACCTCTTTTGCCTCCTCTTCCTTCAACAGGCGCTCCCATTTGATGTTAATAGTTTTATATGTGAAACTTATACTACAGCACTAACACTATTTTATCACTGGAATTCTACTTCCGTTGTATCACAAAAAGATCGATCCCAGCCGCCAACTCCAACTCTCCAACATCAAACATCAAACAGATCACAGAACGAAGATAGTAGGAAAGGAAAAACAAGCAAACAAATCAGAAAACGCAGAACACAAAATGTCGGAACAAGCGACTTAATGATGGAGATGGGTGAATGGAAAACGGAATGAACTGTGTTAACCAAATCAAGATATTCACATACAACATACAAGCGCTTCACGTTACTTGCGACACGTCACCCAACAATATTGCACAATGGGATCAGAAAGGAATTTGTTTCGTACGCTAAGTCTAGAAAAATTAAGGATGGAATTAGGTGTAGACAGATTTGTCCGTTAAGTCCCAGGATATCGAAACTTCTTTGGAATGTTATAACGAATACCAAAATGAACTAGAGATAAGGAGAAACACAAAACAACAATACATAAGAAATAATATGAATTTAGTATATAACTGATGTATACACGGTTTGTCCGGAAAGTAATAGGACTCATTTTCTTCCGCCATGACTGTACTTCGGAGCGTGCGCGCACCGACTGGATTCGGTAGAGGTCGTTCCTAGCTAACGAATGAGCGGATGGTCAGTTGACTCCGAGCACTTGGAGAGTCAGGACAGGCATTTTCGCGCGACGTGTTTCTGTGAGTGGTGCAAGCCGAAAATGTTAGAGCAGAGGTACGCGATTAAATTCTGTGTGAAACTCGGTAAACTGCGACAGAGACGTTTGATATGATCAAGCAGGCTTACCCAGGTGTTGCTTTAGCAAGAAGTGGTGTGTTTCGGTGGCACCAGGCCTTTTTGGAGTGCCGGGAAGAGGTTGCTGATGAAGACCGTGCTGGAAGACCTTCGACTTCGACAAACACCGATAATGTGACTCGTGCGCGCAAAGTTTTGAACTCAGACCGTCGACTAAATATTCGTTTAATTGCCCAGATGTTAAATTTACCAAAATCTGTGATTCATGACATTGTGACACAGCATTTGAACATGCGCAAGGTGTGCGCGAAGATGGTCCCAAAAGTGCTCATTGACAACCAGAAATTGCGGCGAGTGGAAGTGTGCCAAGAAAATTTGAACATGTGTGAAAGTGACCCCCAATTTTTGAATAACGTAATCACAGGTGACGAGTCGTGAATGTTTGAGTATGATCCCGAGTCAAAGAGGCAATCTTTCGAGTGGCACACGACGGCGCCTCCTCGCCCAAAAAAGGGAAGAATGAGCAAATCCAAAGTGAAAACGATGCTCATTGTCTTTTTTGACATCAACGGCATCGTCCACCATGAATTTATTCCTTCTGGACAAACCGTCAACGCCAAGTGCTCAGGAGACTCAAACGAAGGGTCAGTCGGGTCGGACAAGACATCGCAGCCGACTGGAAGTTGCACCACGACAACGCCCCGGCTTACACCGCCTTTCGTGTGAACAGCTACCTGACCAAGGCCAGCATCCCAACGCTTCCGCAGCCGCCCTACAACCCAGAGGTGCCCCCCGGACTTTTTTTTGTTTCCTCGCCTGAAAAGGCCGATGAAAGGCAAACATTTTGAGACGACAGAGGGGATCCAAGCAGCATGCACCGCGGATTTCAAGGCTATTCCGGAGAATGCCTTCCGTGACGCCTTCAATGCTTGGAAATCGCGCTGGCAGCGCTGCATCGACGCTGAAGGAGCCTATTTTGAAAATTTTTAAAGAATTGTAACGATTGGCGCAATATTTTTTTTTAAATCGACTCAGTCCTATTACTTTCCGGGCAAACCCTGTATACGGTTGTCCGCTAATTTAAGGATAATCCTGCAACTGGAAATATGTCACATCATGACCTACACTGCTTGATAAAATTTTGATTCATGAAAACTCGCATGGTTTTCGAGATATACCGCAATGATTTTCTAATGTAGCCTATGAAACTTGTGCTGCGGTTTTCATGATCATAGGACGCAATTGGTATATACAGGGTGACTTTGAAGTTGAGTCATTAATTTTCAGATAATGATTGTAGAAGGAAGATAAACCAGAATATGTGTGTAAAAATAAAAAAAAATTAAAAAAAATTTTTACCTTGTTTTATAAAGTATCCTCCCGACAAGTATTTCAGTGCGGACCTGTATTTGATCGTGAGGTCCCCTGTGAGGTCTTAAGTTACCTGATTCACGAGCCCGTTGTACTACATTAACAAAGGCACGAGGGGTTGGTTGCACTCGATTGGGAAACCGATCCGCATAAACATGTGCCATTTTTTATTTCGTTTGAGCCACGCAACAGACACTATTCACACGCTAACCGACAGACACTGACTGTATGTATAACTGAACTGAATAAAATACCTTATTGCAAAAACATCGTTCCAAATTCTTTCGCTTTTTTGTTTCCGATGCGATGAACCGGTAAGGCGGATTATATCCGTTGTTGCCAAACACGAGTACATGATATTATTATTGAGACAGGGCGGTACTCAAACTTCCAAAGGGCTATAACTTTGTTACTCTAATTTTACCAGAAAAATGGTAAAGGAAAAAAACATTTACCCTGTATACAGGGTGACTTCGAAGTTGAGTCATTTATTTTAACAGTGAGTAGATCTGATCAAAAGAAATGTTTTTTCCTTTACCATTTTTCTGGTAAAATTAAAGTAAAAAAGTTATAGCCCTTTGGAAGTTTGAGAACCGCCCTGTCTCAATAATAATATTATGTGCTCGTGTTTGGCGACAACGGATATAATCCGCCTTATCGGTTCATCGCATCGGAAACAAAAAAGCGAAAGAATTTGGAACGATGTTTTTACAATTATTTCATTCAGTTGTATACAGTCAGTGTCAGTCGGTAGTGAATATTGGTGTCTGTTGCGTGGCTCAAACGAAATAAAAAATGGCACATGTTTATGCGGATCGGTTTCCCAATCGAGTGCAACCAACCCCTCGTGCCTTTGTTAATGTAGTACAACGGGTTCGTGAATCATTTGACTTAAGACCTCACATATGGACGGCATGCCGGTGCTCCAAGACCTCACGATCAAATACAGGTCCGCACTGAAATACTTGTCGGGAGGATACTTTATAAAACAAGGTAAATTTTTTTTTTAATTTTTATTTTATTTTTACACACATATTTTGGTTTATCTTCCTTCTACAATCATTATCTGAAAATTAATGACTCAACTTCAAAGTATATATGAAAATAATAGGCAAAATTCACAAATATATATATATATATATATATCGTCATGATTTTAAATGTGATGAATATGTTTTTGCAGCTTACTCGATGTCTCACCCCAGCTACCAACCTGAATACTCGCTTCTGCTTTATAAACACTCTGTCCAACCGCCCATAAGCACCCCAAGCAATTATACCATAGGGTATAATCGAATTAGAGTAAGCAAAGTAGTAAGTCGTGACAGCTGCTTTGTCAGTCACAAATATGAGGCGACTAATGCAGTAGCTATTGGAACAAGTTTTTTTCATACATTGTCTATGTGCACGTGCCACAAGACAAGGAAACTATGATCAGAAATCTTATTGGAGTGTGCAAAGCTGAGAAAACTAGACTTTTTCCCATTATGCACTAGTCCATTATCTGTGAACCATTGTTGTACTCTCTTCAGTTATAACGTAGCGGCGTTAACCAGAGCTAGAAAATGTTTAGCATTGCAATTTGCTTTCTCAGATCTACAAGCACTGACCTCAACATACTGAGTTCTGTTTTACACGTAGCTCATGAACCATTTAAGCGGAAGTTCCCTGACACCATAGTTCTCTATTCTCTCGTTCGATAATACTATTGCCCCGCTTGTAGAGGTTTTTACTTCCAAACAAATATTTTAAGAAGAATGTAGCACGTTTTTCAAATAATTTGGCACGGACTAAGTAATGAGATTGGAGGGTGGTCCTCAACACTCTTTGCATCATAAAACTTAGGTACTGGAACAATTTTAGAGCACATCAGGCACTCAGAAAATGCTTCTTCTTCTAGAGAGCGATTCATCAAAAACATGTTTTAAAGGTCCATCTATCAGATTTGCATACTTTTTCATTAAATTAGTGCTTATTCTATCTTAACCTGTAGCTGGAGAGGATTTTAAATTATTATATCGATCACAGTAGCTGGTCAGAAGAAACTTTTCGCAAGTTTTTTCTGATCATAGCTATAATCTGGTGGTATCTTAGTTTCATACTTTTCAGTGACACTGTTAAAATAATTGCTGAGAGCTGTTTAGGATCAGATACTATTTGCCCATCAATACTGCGTGACACTAACTTGAGTTTTGTTTAATTATCTGCCAAACAATTTTAGATTTACAACTAGAATCAGCAATCACTTTAGAGTTATTCAGCTTCTTTACCTCTCTCGGCAACTTCTTGCATCGTTTCTTGTAAATATTATAGTACTCCCTAAAACTTGTGCAATATTTAGATAAGTGGAACAGATCCATTAACCCCTGAGTTAGCCAGGGTTTCCTTTACTTATTATTGCTTGCTGTTGCTTTAGTTTGAAGGGGGAATGTCAGCTTAAAGTAATAGGTAAATAACTTAAAGAGTACACCAAACTTTATATTTATGCCCAATTAGTATTGAAGACGTCAAGCCAAGTCTTATTTTGCATTAGACGCAAGAAGTATGCAACATTATCATCATCATGAACTAGCCTATACTTACATTGATCTTTTGTCACTTTATTATTATTAATACTTTTGGTCGCAATAACTTGTTCTAGGTGATCATTAATGCTACTAATCAGTACCTGACTGCAAAAAAATATTTCGGCAATGTTAACACATATGTTGTCAAGTCGGTTTTTGTCCCTGGTCAGTGACGTTATTGTTGGGCGCGCATGCGCCTAACAAGTTAGATAAAAGCTTCAACCAACCACAAGTATCATAATTTAACAAATCTTATATTAGTTTGATAAGCTTGTTAGCCTTTCGCTCAGCTTACCTGTATGTTAAATGGTGAATCAACACACTACCAGAACTTCTATACATAACCATCAGAACTGAAAGTTGTTTATCTCTGCAATGGACACCAACACATTCAAACTATTTTTCGATACTATCAACGTGGATTTTTAATAAAACACACTATTCCTTATATAAATTCCTACTCTCCCATGTTCAAAACAGCTCCTGCAAAATAAATAAGCCATTACATAATTAGGGATGTTCAGCCTAGTGTTCACAAACACAAAAAATATCATACAAACGTCCACCACATACATACATGCATACAAACAAGTCAAGTTAAATAAAAGCTTGTACAAAATACTGGTCTGTGATATACTGTGTACATGACTATATTAACCAATTCATTTTTCAGTGTTCCCATCCCTACATAGACATTGAGTCACCTACACTAGTCACAACTAGAGATGATCTTAGCAGCGACTTGTAAGTCGCCGGGATACCGGTGACAGCGACCTTAAAGTCGCCGGTAGATTTAGCAGCGCTTTAGGTCACTGCTTATCTATGGTCGCTGCCAGCAGCCAGCGAGTTCCTGGCACTGATTAAATTACTCGATATTTGGCGGCGGTTATCCATTGATATTAACGAGGTGTAGATGTTCAGGTTCCTGAAGATTTGAATTAAACTATATTTAAGGTTTTTGTTTTTAACAATATTGAGCACAAAACACATAAAATCATAAAAATATATATATTAATGATATGTAACTTGAGACGTGGTCATTGTCGTCTAGACCAGTTAGGTGAAAAGTTAAAGTAAAGCACACGCCCACAAAATAATTCGTTCCATCTTTCTACACAGACACTGACAACCTTCGGCCTTCTGTCAAAGGGTTCATCTCACTCATTATTCTATGCCCACCATTTTGTGCAATCATCAAGTGGCTTCACGATGTAATGCTTTCATGTTCTAAAAAATTTTTAATCTGTTTTTAACTTTTTCTTGTCACACAGTTGTATGTATTTTATATAATTTTGACCATTATACCATTTATCCAGCTTTCACCATGTTACTGGGTGTTTCCCTCATCCTGAACGTAAACAACAATTAGCAACATCCTCACATACTACTGTAAGTTAAGCCAATTTAAATTCATTTTACACTATTGTTGCTACTATTATCAATGTAATTTGCAGCTCCTGATGATGATGGCAAAGTCCATTGAAAGCTAGAGAGAACAAAAAAGTATAAAGAGTCCTCTTTGCTTAAAATTTTTGTCGAAGTACCCAACAAAAGGCGGAAGCTTTAATTTTTGACCTATATTAATAATATATATCTATTTTTTCTTGTTAGTACAATAAGTTTGAAATAAAAATGTTTGGTTAATTTACAATATCTGGAATTTTATTTAGGCGCCGCCAGGTTTTTTAGACTTACAAAATCAAGCGCCGTGATCCAAATGGAGATTAACAATTCAATATAATGTTAGTCTAAACAGCCTGACGAGGCCATGTATGATTCTGGTGCTGTCAGACATAAATAACTGACGCCACCAAATAATGCGTAACAGTATGTCAGTCATTAACGAGTGACAGCACAAAATAAAACAAGAATAAAATAGTATGCCGGCAGTCAGAGTGTTAACTTTATCACTTACTGAATAAAAATTCCAAATATCACTAATCTTTTGGCGCTTTGACATATTTATAAGGTGCTTGCAACTCACAACAATAACAATAAAAACTAACAAAATAGGTTAGGCTACGCTGTAGCGACCCTGTACTTCCCGCGCGATGATCGCGATGTGTATATGCTTCTTGGCAGCGACCGCGACCGAAACAGCGTTACAGCTACCGATCAGTGGTTACCGATACCGATACTTCCAAACAGCGATCTGGGTCGTTGCTTCATGGAGAATCAGGTCGCCGGGACTAACAGCGACCATTCAAGTCACCGGGAAAGGTCGCCGGTATCGATATATCGATCATCTCTAGTCACAACTGTCAATCTGTCAATCAGTTTTGTCACTGTTGACCAGCTGTCGACTTTGTGCCCCTAACTTTAAAAATAAGGTTTTTCCATACATTATCTCATTACAAATTACAACATTGAATTCTAATATGTTCTAAAGAAAGTAATCCTACTGTCTATTTATATTTTGAAATTCAATATATCACCATATGCCTCAATTTATAATAATAATAAACCTTCTTTCTGTTGTTGAATAGGACATAATATTATGTGATTCATCATAGCACAATCATAGATATACCTACCTAAATGTTGCAATGAGAAACAAAATTAAGCTTTTCGATTTTTCGATACCCACCCACCATTCAAGTTGTTCTACGAAATCTATTTTCTATTTCTGCCTATTGGGATTGCACGATTTTATGCGCTCTGCAAGCTGCAGCTCTGAAAATATATAAATAAAGACTGTTCTTGTTAGATATGCAGAAGTCATCCAACATGTACAAAATATATTAAACTTAATAGGTTATTTTAACATGTTGAGTTAAATTGGAGCGGCCGCCGACTGGATTATCATAGTCAAAATTGGCACTTGTCTGACTATTAGAATGGCGTGGTCGTTATCGTTACCAATCTAGCTTTTTCTCCCTAACCATAGAGACTATCAAACTTCTCCTTTGGAACACAGATTATAGGTACTTGGAATTAAACAAACCAAAGTACTACTGAAGCGCCAGCCAGTGGATGGACAGCGAAAGATAAGTAATGTGGATTATGGCTAGTGATATTGTATCCGACTACTGGAGTGAGCGAATTTTCATATATTAGCATTCCAATAATCGGCCACTTATATTAGCCCGCCTTTTTGTCACGAAACTAGTCGGTTGACTAGTAGCACCTTTTGTCCGAGTACTGGCAAAATAGCACCTTTTTGGCTAATAATATCATTTTATAAAATTACAGGAATATCTATTAAGCAATGTGTTTGTTGTCGGCGAAAAATTAACATATATGATCACCTCCTTAAACATTATTAGTTGTGTTATCTTGAACATAAAATTCGTTATTACTCTTTGTATTAAACTTCTGTCTAAACTGTACGACCACTGGCATACCTATTCATTGTATATGTGTGTGTGCATTAAGCTTAGGTATGTATGTGGAACGATGTCACTATATAGGCAAAACACATTCGGAATTTGCTTTATTATTTACATTTTCTGGTACCTAGCTATTCTACGTAGGTACCCACAAAAATCTCAAAAATACCAAAATATCAGGGAGTTTTGTCACAATTTTATTTTCAAAGTCTGAAACTGTATTGCTACTATAAATCATCACCCTACACCTATCAAAATGGCGTAAATATCATTACCTATTTGCAAATGTCATATCGTTTGAACGGCAAGAAATAATTAAATGCCATAAACAAACATGAACATTAATCTAAGAATTATAAGGAATCAAATTGAAACAACTGTTCAACTTCAATCCAGAAACCATTTGCAAAAGGTGGAAATATAATGAATTTGGGCGGAAATTTAAATTCACTTCGATGGTAGATATGCATTTAAATGTTCGTCAAAGCTAATTTGGTGATATCAGTCGTGATAATGCAACATAAACAATTGTCCTGGTATTAAAACAGTCAAAATTATTTCCATCGCGTCGATTTCAGAAATAAGCTGTTTAAAAATACCGCCTTGTTTACCGGAAGTTAGGTAGGACACGGTTTCCCGATATTTCTACCAACGTTGTCACTGTCAAAGATTTGTCGACGAACCTAATTTTTCCTAAACTCCTTATTTCTAAAAAGTTGAACAGTTAGTGGCTGCACACCTTTTTTTGCTGTAGACTTTTATTTTATTCATGTTTATGAGCAAACAGATTCACTGTACGTTAAATAATGTTCATTTATTCCGGATATAATAAATTCTGAAGGTTAGAATATATTCGTCAAGCACAATTTGGCAACATCGGCCCAAATATTGAGCGCGAAGTGCTTCCATGTGGTTCTCTGGCGTTCTAGAATCTTCCAGACTTTACTAGAAAATCAGTAGGCTATAAAAGTAACCGACAAAAGCCGAAAACGTCAGAAGATAATCAGTCGTTGAAGCAGCGATATCGAAGCGAAAACAAAGCGTTTATCCAAAGCAATTTCTTATAAGCGAGTTATTAGTGAATTGTTGTGCTGAATAGACGGAATATTTGCAAAGGTATGTACTTTTGAAACTGTTTTATATCAATTTTGATTTGCAAGGAAAGGTTATCTCAATATTCCGGTCATGTGCGCCCCCAGGGATTTTTCTTGTAAGAGAATCTTTTATGGTGTACCTGCACCAAATCAAATCTTAAAAATCTGCTAAACACTCCATATACAACTTCTTAAGGTCTAACCCTATTCTCAAGGAGAGCCATGATTCCGATTATGAATGATATTGAGGATGAGCCATTTTTCTTGGAGTTCAGTATGCTTTTTTGTTTTAGTGCTTGTGGCCAGTGCATTTTTATATCTTATTTGTCAGGCCCGTGGATATTTTTTGTGAAGGCTCCTTAAAATTCGATTAAAACTGCCCAACTCGCATATAGTTTCATAATCAGTAAACTTCACGTGTAGTACTTGAATTGGTTTACTTTTTCACCTTATGAAAGCCTGTATTGAGCTTTTATTCTCAAATTTTCTTTGTTGTTTTTAAAAGTCATTGATGAGTCAGCCTTAGTTTGGATGTGTTGCTTATTAATTAATTAATTCTTGGTTAAATGTAAATGTGAGATGTAGCACAAAATAATTTGGGAGGACATTGATAACCAGGCACCTTGCTGTATAATACTATAGGTGTGCCTGTGTTTTTTTAGGTAGTATTAAATATGACTAACTTGCTGATATATTGTTCTTTGTTACAGATGCCTGAAGCCACTCAAATGGAAACACAGGGCGGGGAAGTTGAAACCTTCGCCTTCCAGGCTGAAATTGCTCAGTTGATGAGTTTGATTATCAACACATTCTACTCCAACAAAGAGATCTTTCTCAGAGAATTGATCTCAAACTCATCAGATGCATTGGATAAGATCCGATACCAGTCCCTGACAAATCCATCATGTTTGGACTCCGGTAGAGATCTCCAGATCAAGATCATTCCCAACAAGAGCGAGGGAACCCTCACAATCATTGATACTGGTATTGGTATGACAAAAGCTGATCTGGTCAACAACTTGGGCACCATTGCAAAATCTGGCACAAAGGCGTTCATGGAGGCTCTGCAGGCTGGTGCTGACATCAGCATGATTGGCCAGTTTGGTGTAGGTGAGTAGATGCACCACTGATATATATATATATATATATTTTACTTTTTTTGCAAATAAGTATACATTTAGTTTCATTTAGAAAAGTTTGGTATTCTGAATGCAATGAAATCAAATATATTTCATCACCATCATTTTCACACTCTGTTTATCGCTTGTACAACCACATTCCCACAGACTTTAAGCCTGTGCCAGTGTCAGCTTTCAAAAGAAATTTTAAGATACTTCTTGTGGAGCAACAATAGTTGAGTCTCTCCAGTTTTGTCCTTCTCATCTGGGTATGAGTTTTAAGTTGAAAGTTTGATTAAAGAAACATGTGCTTTAACTTTTTTTTGTCATTTTGGAATGAATTGGTTAGAATTGTATTATCTGTAGATGGCTATAAAAATGTGCTCTGTTTGCTGGTCCATTTTGCAATAAGTGTAATTTGTTGTTTTTCCCAATTTTGTATCATGTAATTTTTTAATTGCAAATAAATGCTATTATTATTTTCTTCTAAAATTTCAATTTCCTTGTTACTCTAATGATGTATGATAATTTTTTTCATAATTTCTGGAAGCTGCCCAACCATTCATTGATGGCACTGCAACCTCTAGGCCTTATTGTGCCTTGCTCCTTTACCCAATCCAGCAGTATAGTTCTGTGTACCAGTTGGTACTCTCTTGGTTCTAATTTCAGTTTCTAGAAAAGTTGTCTTTTGTGATTCAGTGCCTCATACTTGCATAAGACATGTAGGGCTGAATCCTTTGCTTTTTCTCATTGTTTGCAACTAAGGTCTCCATTTTTACAGACCTTTTGCTCAGGTGTTCTTTCAGACCATTGTGTACTGTTAGAAATCTGCAGAGTTGGTTTCTCCTCATTGAAAGCAGTTTTATAGTATCGTTTGGAAGATGCACCCATGCCAATGTTCCTTGTGCTGGTGTCTTATCTATTTTTTGACTTGGTTCCTTGTGCTTTATGGCACCCCCAAGACACGTTCTGGCCTGTATAAGGTGTGGATGATCTTTTCCTTGCAAGCTCATGTGCACTTACATTTTTTCTGCGTTATCTGAATGTCCTGGCATCCACATCAGAGTTACTTTGTTGTATTCTGTCAGTGTATTCAGTTCTTGTTGGCATTCAAAGATCAGTGCCATTTGTCACTCCAGGACTTCTTGATGCTATGAGTGACACCTGACTGTCAGTATACCCTATTTCACGAGTATCCATCATGGTAGAACGACATCTGATTATGTAGTAATACATCTCAAAATTCCCCATATTGGCACAGGACACAATTCTGGCGAACCTGTCACGTTGGGTAGTCAGAGTCGTATTTTGTTTTGGTTTTTTGTACCGTACAGATTCATTATTGCCAATGTCGCAGAGTAACTAAATGTCACTTGCTGATCAGCTGTTTACCTCAGTAGACGTCAAAACATGATGGATACTCGTGAAATAGGGTATATATTTGGCTATCCCTATATGATAATGATTACTGTTGGAATGTATAACTGATCAAGGTCACAGCATTTTTAATATTTTGTAACCTGTTATATTGAATCCTATCTTTTAATTTCAGGATTCTACTCTGCCTACTTAGTAGCAGACAAGGTCACAGTTACCTCCAAGCACAATGATGATGAGCAGTACATCTGGGAGTCTTCAGCTGGAGGCAGCTTCACCATCCGACCTGATTCTGGAGAGCCTTTGGGGCGTGGTACTAAGATTGTCCTGCACATCAAGGAGGACCAGACAGAATTCTTGGAGGAGAACAAGGTCAAGGAAATAGTCAAGAAGCATTCCCAGTTCATTGGTTACCCCATCAAGATGTTGGTTGAGAAGGAGCGTGAGAAAGAACTCAGTGATGATGAGGCAGAAGAGGAGAAGAAGGAGGGTGAAGAAGAGAAAGACAAAGATAAGCCAAAAATTGAAGATGTAGGTGAAGATGAGGAAGAAGACAAAGAAAAGAAAAAGAAGAAAAAGACCATCAAAGAGAAGTACACTGATGAAGAAGAGTTGAACAAGACCAAACCAATCTGGACAAGAAATCCTGACGACATCAGCCAGGAAGAATATGGAGAATTCTACAAATCCCTCACAAATGACTGGGAAGATCACTTGGCAGTCAAACACTTCAGTGTTGAAGGACAGCTAGAATTCAGAGCTCTGTTGTTTGTACCGAGACGTGTGCCTTTTGATCTCTTTGAGAACAAGAAGAGGAAAAATAACATCAAATTATATGTTAGACGAGTCTTCATTATGGACAACTGCGAAGACCTCATTCCAGAGTACCTGAACTTTATCAAAGGTGTTGTAGACTCTGAAGACTTGCCATTGAATATATCCAGAGAGATGCTCCAACAGAACAAGATCCTCAAAGTTATCCGTAAGAACTTGGTAAAGAAATGCCTAGATCTGTTTGAGGAACTTTCAGAAGACAAAGATCAGTACAAGAAATTCTATGAACAGTTCTCTAAGAACCTAAAATTGGGTATCCATGAGGATACCCAGAACAGAGCAAAACTGGCGGACTTGCTAAGGTACCACACATCTGCAAGTGGTGATGAAGCATGCTCTCTAAAAGATTATGTTAGTCGCATGAAGGAAAATCAGAAACACATCTACTTCATCACTGGTGAGAACAAAGAACAAGTAGCTCACTCTGCCTTTGTAGAAAGGGTTAAGAAACGTGGATTCGAAGTAGTTTATATGACTGAACCTATTGATGAGTATGTAGTACAGCAACTCAAAGAGTATGATGGCAAACCACTAGTCTCTGTCACCAAAGAAGGCCTCGAACTACCAGAAGATGAGGAAGAGAAGAAAAAGCGTGAAGAAGACAAAGCCAAGTTTGAGGGTCTCTGCAAGGTCATGAAGAGCATCCTTGACAACAAAGTAGAAAAGGTTGTTGTGTCAAACAGACTGGTCGAGTCTCCCTGCTGCATAGTCACCTCACAATATGGATGGACAGCCAATATGGAACGTATCATGAAAGCGCAGGCGCTGCGTGACACATCCACTATGGGTTACATGGCTGCCAAGAAACATCTAGAGATCAACCCAGACCACCCAATCATTGAAAATCTGAGACAGAAAGCAGAGGCTGACAAGAATGACAAAGCTGTTAAAGATCTTGTGATCCTACTCTTCGAGACTGCTCTGTTGAGTTCTGGCTTCACTCTAGATGAACCTCAAGTTCATGCCTCAAGGATCTACAGGATGATAAAACTTGGATTGGGAATTGATGAAGAGGAATCCATGCTTACTGAGGAGACTCCATCTGGTGATGCCCCAACAGCAGAAGGCGGCGATGCTGATGATGCCTCTCGAATGGAAGAAGTGGACTAAGAAATTCTACTTTAGGACATATGTTTCTTTAGAACATGTGTTTTAATATGTTCTTGTCATTCCTTTTGCCGTGTTAATGCGCATGTTTCGAGTATTTGACAGATTTTGAATATTATTTTTACATCTTTTCTAGTATTGGCTGTGTAGAATGTGAGACCGACCAGTGTCGCAACAGCAATGTACTGATTTTCTTTTCAATAAATTTTTTGTTTTATTTAACAATTATAAATTTGTTTCTATTAACACCCCCGTTTTCAAGAGGTAACATAACTGAATAATTTTGACAATATTAACAGTATATGTAAATGCTTGATATGTAAATAATTAACTTCTTAAAAATAATCATAAACGTTTATACAGGGTGATTCACAAGTCGTAACCAAACATGAAACACACAGGACCGCATTTTAACGTCAACTGGAATGAACTTAAAATTTGGTATGTGGATTTACCTAAGTATTATTGTCCACATTCAAAAGTATTTACTCAAAATTAACGTGCACCAGTGGCGGAGATACATGGGATTAGTTGCATTATTTTTCCAATTAAAAATAGTACGCCAGTTTTTTCGAATCGTGCAATTTTTCGAACTACCTTCAATTTGCTACAAATAATTACTCTTGTTTTTTTTCTAGAGAGCATTATTTTTGTAAAAATAAAAAAAATACAAATTAGTAAAAACCTTTTGGGTAGGTTGGTGTATATGTTAGGAAATCTACGTTGATACCCCCCGAGAATCCGCTAAAGCATTTCCATTACAGAACCCTTACACAAAAATATCGGCGTACTCATCATTGCTAAATTCCATTTCCCAACACTAAAAAATGGAAAAAACCCTTGACCTAAAAAAAGAAAATTGTAATAGTAACGATAACACATAACTTTGACAAACTATCTCCCAAGAAACGTCAAGTTGGTATCAAGGCCTCCGATTTTATTTTGAAACTAATTGTATCTTGGTTCTTCATGAACGATCTAACTTTTATTTTTACGAAAACAGTGCACTCTAGGAAAAAACAAGAGTAAATATTTGTAGCAAATGAAGGTAAAATTCGAAAAATAACGCATTTCGAAAAAAAAAAACTGGCGTACTATTTTTATTAGGAAAAATAATGCCACTAATCTCCTGTATCTCCACCACTGGTGCACGTTAATTTTAAGTGAAGACTTTTGAATGTGGGCAATACCAATCCACATACCAAATTTTAGTTCTTTCCAGTTGACGACGGTTTTGAACATATTAAAAAAATTGTTTCTTATTTTTAAACTTCAACATCTTTTTAATGAAGCTGTCGAGGAAGAAATTTTACATAGAAGACCCCCCTCAAAATGTGGTCCTGTGTATGATTCATTCGTTGGTCACGACTTGTGAATCACCCTGTATGTATATGGCGGAATTTGTGATTGTTGACTTCTAATGAAATTACATCGTACATATCTTGTCAGGGCATTGCACTTTCGATTTACGCGTTTATACAGACTTATAGAGCATCAAATCTACACGAAAATAAGTTATGGATGTTTAATGCTACGTTTTTTTTGAAAATTTTGCTACACAAAAGGTTTAAGCATCAAAAGTATCTGTAACTTGACAAATAAGCCATATCTAAAAATTTTCGCTATATCAACTAAAAAGTTTACCAGATTTGGTATCATACTTCAATCCCTGCAAAATGTCTAGAATGAAAATTTAAGTGGTGCCTTCGGTGTTATTACCCATTTTGCTTATACAAAACCTTAATTTTCATGCATTATCTGTCATGTCCAACTTTTTGTAACAGCATAATCTCCGAAACCGCTGATCCGATTTCGATGCTGTCAAATACGTATTTGAAAGCGTCTTAAGGGTGAAAGGATCAATGCCTATAAGCAGGGTTATTACCCCCGAAAATAACTCAAATTTCAAGTTGATCGCACTATGAAATTTTTGCATTTAAATTTTGATATCGCAATTTTCATATTTGTCCATTTTCCAGTATGTATTTTTAAACGAGCGCATGGTCGCAAACTGTTTCTACGGCAAATCTATAGTAAAACGCACTAAAATACAAAACATACAGGGTGTTCATTTGAAAACTTCCCACCACGAATTTATCGAAAACCTCTGATTGAAAGAAAAAACGCCGAGACACGTCAAAAGATTTGTCAAGGGGGACTACTTTTTAACCAAAAACTACTTCACCCCTCTGCCCCCCCAGGGTCATCCTTTTAAAAATTTCAAATGATAAAGGCTTACTTTGGAATTTCCCATTAACATATATAATACGCAATTCTGGCTTGGGCACATTCTTCGCGAGTCCACAGACTGTTCGCCTTGCAAATAAGGGCATTTAGGGTTGTGAGCCGTTTGGGCTACAGGGACCTTTGGCAAGTTAGGAATCCTTACCGTGCCTTTGTTTATAACCCATGGTTCAATAAGTCCCGGGACTAACCATGAATATATTTAGCATTTGTTTCGTAAAATTCATTTTTATTCATCAACGTAATCGCCATTAAGTGCAATGGAATCATTCCAACGTTTTTCTAACGTCTCGATACCATGCTTGAAGAAAGATTTGTCCTTGGTGACAAAATAAGCTTATGTTGCAGCGATGACTTCCTCGTTAGAGCCAAATCTTTTTCCCTGGAGCATCTTTTTGAGATCAGCAAAGAGCCAGTAGTCGCTGGGGGCTAGATCTAGAGAGTATGGTGGATGGGGAAGAAGACTGAAGCCGAACTCGTTCAATTTGGCCATTGTTTTTATTGACATGTGACACGGTGCGTTGTCCTGATGAAAGATGATTTTTTTCTTCATGTGCGGTCGTTTTTTGCGATTTCGTCCTTTAAACGTATCAGTAACTCAATGTAATAATCGCTGTTCATACTTTTTCCTTTTTCAAGGTACTCTATGTAAATTATACCCTGTGCGTCCCAAAAAATGACGCCATGACTTTGCCAGCTGACTGCTGCGTTTTTGGACGCTTCGGTCGGCTTTCACCAGCTGCACGCCAATCAGTTGACTACCGATTTGATTCCGGAGTAAAATGGTGAATCCATTTTTTGTCTACTGTCACATACCGTTGCAAAAAATCCTGTTTATTGCGGGTGAACAGTGACAAAAGGCTCTCCGAGTTGTCAACTCGTTGTTGCTTTGGTCCCATTGTGAGAAAATGCGGCACCCATTTGGAAAAGACTTTTTTCATACTCAACTTTTCATGTAAGACGGTTGATATGTGTACTATCTCAGCAATCTCAAGAACTTTCAGTTTGGGGTCATTCATCGCGATTTTTAAAACTTCCTTAACATTTTCCAAAGTTACTGCTTCATTTGGGGTAGCTGAGTGTTCAGCATCCTTCCGCGTTTAAAATCAGCATACCACCGGCAAATCGTTGTTTTCGACGGAGCAGACTTCGGATAACATTTTTCAAGCCATTGCTGAGCTTGCACGGTATTCTTTCCCATTAAATAACAATGTTTTATCAACACACGAAATTCGTTTTTGTCCACTTTGGAAACAAATGCAAAAGTAACTTCACCTTCACCGCAGTATCTTTGCTCTTTAGGGTGCGATTTTCGCGAAAATTTCACAGGTGTCACATGAAGGTTAGCTCTTTCGACAAATGAAGTTGACTTGGCATTACTATCGCCTTTTGTGTGTGAGTCCCGGGTCTTATTGAACCATGTGTTATATTTTTGAAAATCTACTCTTTGTTACAAGGAATTAACTATGTTACTGATGAACACAATACTAGGCATAAGAACAATCTAGTACCTCTTTATTGGCGACTGAGGTGTCAAGGTGGACCTGGTTATTGGGCGGTAAATTTTTTTAACGTACTTATTAATCACTCATTTTACACGTAAGAAGAATGTTTAAGACATACTCGTAGATTTCAACTATAAATTGTAATATGTTGTTAGCGATTTGGAGACTTTAAACTTAATTGTAACCCGTTTTATACTGAGTGACTACGTATGTTGCAGTAGCCTGGAATGAGATACTCCAACAGGATATCGACCGCCTTATCAGCACGACGCCCAGGCGTGTTAATGAGTGTATAAGAAATCGTGGATCCTCAACACATTACTGGATCAGCTTCTGCAGTCAGTTGGTGAATCAAGTTGAAAATTTAATCATTTTACTACAGTATATTCAGATAAGAGATAGACCGGATGTAAACAAAAGGTTCGGGTGATTTTCACGCTAACGCCGCCGTCTCGACGTAAAACAGGAGCCCTCATTGGTCAATTCGCAATTAAATGCCTATGCCGAGCGGCAGAGCAGTCGTATCAAGGCAGAGTCACATTCAGGTTCAGACGTGTTACGTATGTCGTGTGCATCATTGCAATTTGATATTTCTTTGGACGTTTTCGTTTGTTATCTTATTAAGTTGTTGAGTTTGTCGTTGTTATACCTTGTTATTGATTGTTATTGTTATCAACTGCTTGCGCAAAATGCCCAGTAGTACAGATACTGCCGATGAAGTTGTAAACTCCTGTAGTCCACCTAGGAAACGCTCTAAAAAAAGACACCTGAGTGCAGAAATGCAAGAGGTCATTTTGAATATATATAAGATCGAGCGCGAGGAGAACGAGGCATCAACCATCAAATAAATTGTTGTGAAGGTTTCTCACAAAGTTGGGGTGTGTCGCGCATCAGTGTTTAATGTGTTAAGACAATACAAAAAAATCACACCTTTTCTGAGCCAATGACCAGTAAACATCGCAAAAGTATTGTTAAATCATTGGATGAAGCTGATAAGCATGCGATTAGGAGGAAAGTGCATGAATTCTTCTTTAGGAATGAAATACCTACTATAGATAAAGTACTGCAGGAGGTAAATGGAGATACAACGTTGCCAAATTTCAAACGATCAACTTTCCATGCGTTACTGAAGCATTTAAATTTCAAATGGAAAAAGCGGGGTCGTAATAGTTTACTACTGGATAGAGAAGAAATTGTGCTATGGAGGAGGGATTATTTAACAAAAATTGGGAAATATAGAAATCAAAACAGGAAGATTTATTACCTTGATGAAACGTGGGTAAACGCAGGACACACTACAAGTAAAGTATGGGTTGATGATTCTGTAACTTCATCCAGGAGGGCCTTTCTAGATGGACTGTCCATCGGATTAAAAAATCCAGCAGGTAAATACGAGTAATAGACAACAATCGGATGTTTTTCAAACCTTGGGAACAAGGTTCTAAACATTAATTCCAGGGGGCAGATAAAACATATTACAAGTAACAAAACTTTTATAACTTTCGATAAAATGCGTGGATGTTTTATTGTCATTTTCATTTGTTAGAACTTTTTTAAGCCATGTTTTTATGTGTTTTCGATATTTCAATAATTTTTTAATACAATCTTAAAATATGTCGAATATTATAAACTTAAAAAAGTTACTAAGTTTTATATTGTGTACCGTTCCTAATATTTCTAATCATGTTAATTCATACTTTAAGCTTTATAAAGTTATAATTTGTTAAAATTAATATTTGCGCGTATTTCAGGTTCCTGATCATTCATTTTTTAAAGGTTTATAACTTTAAATTAAATTGTGAAGCGCTGAGTAATCATACGACGTTCAATATTCTTTCTTTCAATATGACTAAATAATCCCAATTATAGCAATCTGATACTCATGTCTCAATGTTTTTTCGCTGAATGTGATGAAAACATTTGAAAAAGGTTCGCTTATTGAAATAAATCTACACCAGTTAGTACTTCGATTTCCAGGTAAAGGGAAAAGGCTCATTATCTGCCATATTGGCAGTGAGGATGGATTTGTTGTTGACGGTCTGTGGTGCTTTGAGTCTAAGAAAACTGGAGATTACCACGAGGAAATGAATGGATAATGCGCCTTATCATTCTCGAAGAATGGAGAAGGTCCCAACAACGGCTTCAAGGAAAGTTGATGTTCAAAATTGGCTCCGCTCGAAAAATATCAACTTTGAAGAAGCAATGCTGAAAGTACAATTATTAAGAATTGTCAAGGATCACAAGGCGGAATATCAAAAATACGCCATTGACGAAATGGCAGCAAGTCAAAATAAAACTGTGCTCCGTTTACCTCCATACCATTGCGAGCTCAATCCCATTGAGCTCATATGGGCAGAGGTTAAAAATTATATAGCTAAGCACAATACAACTTTTAAATTTTGTGGCCTCAAAGGACTTTTCAAAGAAGCACTAGAATTAATAACAGCGCAAAAATGGGAAAACTGTATTAAGCACGTGAAAGACAAAGTTGAAAAGAGAATGTGGGAACTGGACAATATTTTAGAGGGACAAGTCGAGCCATTAATTATTGATGTTGGTGCTTCAGGCAGTAGCGATGATGAAAGCTCATCAAGCTCATCTTTCCAATAAAAGATGTCGTTCATCAAATTCGGTAAGTTATAAGTAATTATAAAGCTACTGTATTTTTTAATTAATTATTGACATTTTTGAACCCATTTTTTCAAAACCTATTCAAGAATCTACTTTCTGACAATGTTCAACCATGCACATTTTTTTACGTTTTGAACGTTTTAATTTGGTTACATATTTACCTAGAAATCAAAAAATATACTAATCAATATTCTAAAAGCAATTTTAAGAGATATACGATTAGTTTTAATTTAGGCTAATTTAAACGCCATTTTGAGATTATATTCGACTGTATTTCACCAAACATCAGGCGGCATCCGAAGCTGGAAATCGAAGCGAAAATTTTGAAACCCTTATGTATATTTACATCATTATATATTTCTTACCCCACCTCCACATGATCCTATATCCATCACCAATCGTATACACATCGAATTGTGCTAATTTACTACAAAGTTACGCAAAGCAGCATCTACTATCTAAAATATGTACTGCGTGACTCTTAATACGTCCCTGCCGAATGTTACAGCGTTCGATGATCACGTGGTCTTGTTTATGTCCGGTCTATCTCTTATCTGAATATACTTTAGTAAGGGATACTGAACACATATGCCAAAAATTATTAAAATCCGATAAAGATACTTAGGTTTTTACCTTTTTTTGTCACTCGGTATATATCTGTATGAGTGTTAGTATACTTATGTTTGCAATTTTTATTGAACACTGGCACTCTCTTTGTTTTAGTTGTAATGCATTCCTCATTTCAACCATTGTATGTATAAACATATTTCATGTATTGTGACATGAATAAAGAATATGAACTGCTGTTTATGTTGTTTATTGCATATTATCGTTAATATAGCATAACTTCCTAGAAAATTACACACAACCACTAACTAATTTACGATATCCAAGCATATGTATACAGAATGTTTCCTAATTGAATGTAATATTTAAGGGGACGATCTATTGTCCATTTTAAGAAGAACACTTCATATGAACGTATGAGCTAAACCAGTTAATTTTTGAGAAATAGTGTAATAAAGTTTTCATTTATTATTATCTGTGATACTACTTTAGATATTTTAATAAAATTTGGAATACATTTGTGTACTATGTATCAAAAGGCATTTTTTAATGTACTATATTCTTTCGAGTTTTCACCAGTGGCGGACTTACGGAATTTCACCTGCCTATTTTGGCAGACGTTGCTGGTACGCCACTGATTTCTATTAAAGTTAAAACTATTCATGATATCCCCAAACGTGTCCAAGTAAATCTGAACGGATCTACCTTCAATCTGATGCATGGTTTTCGCTTAAAAAATAAAAACCGTTTGCATGATCATAATACTGTTGATACGACAAAACTCACCAAGCAGATAGATAGCTTTTATTTTTTTTAAGTGAAAACCGTACGTCGGATTAAAAAAAATCAGATCAAATTTGCATAGGAAGTATTGGGGATTTCAAGAATAATTCTTATTTTTTTGTGACGTGCTATTATTGTCTGAAAATATAGGCAGGTGAAACTCCGTACGAACGCCCCCAGTGGAAATACACAAACTCTAAATAGGCGAATTTTGTTATTCCCAGGGGGGGGGGGGGGGTAACGCAAAACGACTATATTGCATCGCGCCTCAATAGCATTCACTGTTTAAAGTAGGAGTCTGAGTGACAACCTTCCGATATCCCTGAAAAACAGAACTATTCAACATATTATTAAAAATTTTTATATTACAAGAGAACATAATAAAATAAGTGTACCATATTTTGCAACTAAAAAATAAGAAATAATCCAATATTTATCTGGTTATCATACTGTGTGATATTATAAAATATAAGACGAATGGCCCAGTGGAAAATATAATGCAATGCTTCTTCAAAAGACTAGATGTAATACGAGTACAAAAATAAACACGTTTCAAACAAAATAAACATTTCGTCCTATATCTAGCCGTGAAAACTGTAATATATGATGATGTACATATTTGAATGTTTTTCTACAGAAATATATTAGTAATATTAGTGCTTCTTCTTCAGCTCGTTGAACCGCTTAGTTAGATCTTCAAAATCTATATCGTCATCCTTATCTTCTGGAGGAGATGGTGGGATATTCGGTACTGATGGCAAATCTGGTAAGTCATATGGATTGTTGGTCTTTCTTGGAGCAGGTTTTGGCTTATCAGTATTCTGTAAAAACAATATATTTAATGAACACGATAATCACGAAAATATCAGCACAAAACATGATAAGTATAATAATAGTTATCTACATCTACAAACAGCTGATAATTCTAAAGTGCTTTAACTATATTGTGACCACAGAGTTCCTATAAGAGTTTGAAAATTTAGTCTCTTAATATTTTCACTGATGAAATATAAATATGGATGTGTTAAAATGTGCTAATAAGCAATATGGAATGTGATTTTTTGTGAAATGGTGACAACTTCCCATTATTGAAGGGTTCACGACATTGTCTGGATCTCTGGTAATTTTGAAAACCCCAAATTGAATTAGACAGTTGAGATTTTAACTGGCGAGATCTATCGCAGATTAAATATGAATAAGATGTCAAAGAAATTTTGATACGAGTTTTGAACTAGTTAAGGCTAGCACAGTTGGGGCATATGGTTCTGGTTCAACATACGGATTATTTCACATTCGGTATTCCGATGTATCTCCGTTTCTAGCTGTATAGAGCTTAACCATCAAGTTAGGATAAGCACAAACCTGGCGGGACATATGCTAGACCTAGAACCCAGTGGTATCATGGAGAGATACGAAACTACCAGAAGCAGTCAATTTAAGGGAGTGTCGCCTTGTTTGAACCGCATCAACTATGGGCAATGCGGTCAAGGCTACAGATCCCCACACATGTTTGAGATACTCCAGGGCTGATGTTTTCTAGGGCTTACAGAGAGTGAGTTGGCTAGATGTCGAAAGGTCTCTAGTTCCCACAAATCCAGTTTATATACAGGGTTATCCAAATTAAGTGTCCACCATTAGTAACTTTGTTATTAGTGAAAATACAAAGTTGTTTGAATTAGCAAACTAGTAGCATTTTTAACGCTGGTAAAAATGAGAAATAAAAAAAAACAATTGGGAGTCGTTATTTTGATTTTTTTCAGTAAAATAACATTTTTTTAAATGGAAACCCCTGTATATTATATTTTTTTCTATTAAAGCATCAAATTTTAAACAAAAAAGCTTACAATAACTTTTCTCCTAGGTTACAAATTGTTGAAGTTATGGCCTCCAATCTGAAACAATTAAATTGTATCGACAAACTTTATTTTCAACATCAACTTATAATCTTACAAAATACAATAACAATTTTTTTAAAGAAGATGCTCGAAAACACCACCTTGTTCTTCAATACATTTTTGGGCACGTTTTTCAACTGCTCGAACTGTCTTAAGTATGGTCCTACCATCTATCTGGGTTATCTTTTCCCTAACTGCAGTCTTTAACGCGTCAAGGTTATCGTACCTTCGCTTGTAAATTTGGTTCTTTAAGTAACCCCACAAGAAGTAATCAAGTGGGTTTAGATCTGGTGATCTGGGAGGCCACTGTATTGGGCCATTTGTTCCTATCCACTGATCATTAAAAGTAGTACTTAGAAAATGATAAGTACCTCTGGAGTTGTGGGCAGGTGCGCCATCTTGCTGAAAATGCAGATGATGTCTACTTATAAGATCCAATTCGTCTAAGAAATTAGTCAGAATTTCTGACATAAATTCCACATATCTTTCACCAGTTAGGGTTCCCTCATAAAAGAACGGGCCAACAATTTTTGAACCAATTATACCGCACCAAACGTTGAAACTGAAACGGACTTGTGGGCCTCTTGGATGTACTAACAAAAGATTTTCTCTTGACCAATAATGGTGGTTTTTTCTATTAAACATTCCAGAATTTGAAAAATTTGATTCATCTGTCCATAAAAGGTAACGAAAGTTATTTACATTTTGGCGACAGAAGCTAAGATACCAATGGCAAAAAACAAGTCTTCTCTCTGGATCCCCTGCCAAAAGCGTTTGAACTGGTCGGTACTTATACGGAATAAATTTGTATTTTTTTAAAATCCTTTGAACAGTACCATAACTGAAATTAGAGTCCTTGAGAATATCTGCTATTGAATTCTCACGATAAGCTTCAAAATATCCAATAACGGCAATTTCCGTGGCCTCGCTTATTATGAATTCTTTTTTTGCCCTTGTTTTAGCAAAAACATTTTCGTTGCCCCTAAATTTTCGATAAAGTCTTAGAAAATATCGTTCATACGGTTGAATGCGAGCGGGATATAATTCACTGTAGTATTCTCTTGCTCTCAAGGAGGATTTTCTGCACACTAAATAGCATTCTAACATATCACACTTTTCTTCATGGGAGAACATTTTTCTTTAAATTAATGACACAATAAAGCTTATAAATAAGTATTTACACTAATGTTTGACATTATTTGATTTTATCATTGTTTTCCAAAGCCTTCTAGTTGCGAGTATGTCCAGTTTAACAATTTGTCGCTTATCTTAATGCTGTCAAATCGCGAACGCCATGTTGTTTTCATAGCCGTCTTAATATTATAATACTGCAAATAATTAAAAATATTTATCGTTATTTTGACTTTATTTTTGACTTTAGCGGAAAAGTCATTATGAACTTTTTTGTTTAAAATTTGATGCTTTAACAGAAAAAAATATAATATACAGGGGTTTCCATTTAAATAAATGTTATTTTACTGAAAAAAATCAAAATAACGACTCTCAATTGTTTTTTTTTATTTCTCATTTTTACCAGCGTTAAAAATGCTACTAGTTTGCTAATTCAAACAACTTTGTATTTTCACTAATAACAAAGTTACTAATGGTGGACACTTAATTTGGATAACCCTGTATATCAGTTGACGAGACGTGTTTATGGAATCACGTCTCTAACCTTTGATAAGATGGAAATAATGACTTTCTGGTATATTAAATGAGTGGCTTAGTACACCAAGCACAAGACGGTTTGGACTATATGGAAAATTCTGATAAGAATAAGGTGATACAAATGCACTAAAATACAAGTTTTGCATCCATGCATGTTTTCTGGGAATAGCAGTGTAAGGTGGCAAAAAACAGTTTCGTTTTATGGGAAAGTTGTGTTTTGCGTTATAGACCTGCAGATCAAACCGACATCAATCGATCAGTTAGCAAAAAAGTTACTGCACGAAAATTGTCAAATGTGGGTCATTCTCATCTTGCTTATATCCACTTAAAAATCTCACGATATTCAAATAAACTCTGTAATAGTACAGTTCTTGGAGTGTAAATCATAGGGATGCTTTCACAGTTTGTAAATATTAAACAGTATGTTGGAAAAAATATTTTCAAAAAAAAAGAATTTTCATAGATCGCGGTTTAATCATACTATAGTTCACTTACATGAATCACTCGGACCACAAAGTATTTCTAAAGAGTTGTGGTATAGCATGCAATGTGCATCATATTTGCGTTTTACTGACGCGAACAACTAAACCCTATTTAACGGGTATCCATCACGCTTTAACGTCTACTGAGATGAACAGCTGATCAGCAAGTGAAATTTTTGTGTTAGTCTGCGACGTTGGTAACAATGAATCAGGTGTAAATCTCGTCAAACGTGTTTAACTTTTATAAATAAAAGAGCTGTTAGCAAGTACAAAATGAATCTGTAGCATAAGAAAAACCAAAACAAAATACGGCTCTGACAACCTGAGGTTGACGGATCCGTCAGATTTATGTATCCTGTGATGGATACTCGTGAAATAGGGTATAATCTGCAGTTGACATCTTTTTCTGTTTATAACCTGCCTAGCGCCATTTACTTCTAGCTTCCCAAGTTGTGAATGGAATAAATAATTCGAACTAAAAATGTTTATTAATTTTCACCTTTCTTTGTTGCCTGACAAAAATACTTTTAGGTGGTAGACCAGACAATTGATACAAAAAAAAAAATGTAATGAAGGTCTGACGTTGATCAATACATTCAAGATGAGGATGCAATGCACTGCACCCTGGGAGAGGTTAGGGCTACAATGTTGGTTAAATGAGAAAAATGTTGCGTAAATTTCATTTTACATACAGTCTACTGATATGAGCTATTCTTTCACATCTATAATGGACAAGTTTGCCATTTTTTTGTTATAAGTTCAAATAAAATTTTAAGAAAACGAAACAAGATGGTGAAAAAAATATTAATGTACCTCTAAAAATAAAAAAATTACAGCCTATCAAAGTTGCGCCCAGCGAGAATATTTTTATTCCGTCTGAACCCGACGAGTGACGTCACACTTCACTATCCAGTTGCGACGGCCGTGGCCGACTCCTGGGCCCCGGCCGACTCGATTTCCTAAACACACACATAGGTATAGGTACAATAGAGCGGGAACACGTGGTAGGCTAAATGTCTGCCGCGCCAATTTGTTTAATTGGTTGACTGCATTTATACGATCGGTTATGAGCGAAATAACAAACAAAGGTTGTTATAAACACTGTAGCATTCCAAAATGTACGAGCACAACAATTACAACCCCTAATAAACATTATTTTCTACGTACCCTCACATGAAAATATCAGGAAGAAATGGTGCAAACTTATGAAGCGTGATTTGATTGGACCAAAAAGTACAACATATGTCTGTGAAGACCACTTTAATATGAGTATATCACTTTTCTATTTATTTATGATTATTACTTATTATATGATTTCCAAGCTGATTTCACGGTGCACGCGGCATTTTGTTGGAAAATTATTTCAACTCGGCGAGAATAGCTGTGAGCTACTCTAGAGTCACTTACCTAAATAGGCGTCAAGTAGGTTGACTCTGTACCGCATCATGTACAATTTTATTATACAGGGTGTCCGCAAAGTTGGGGTTTTCCTTTTCAGAAACAACTACCCTTGAAATAACAAAGGTAATGTGTAGTGAAACGAGGGCGACCAAGTAAAAAAAATAAAGGAAAAAGTACTCACTCTCCAGTTGACGAGAAGGGCTAAGTACGTCTCTGCCCGAAATCATACCGCTCCAACAGAAAATGAAATCAGCTGATGCGCTACCGAGCAGACGCCGGCGGTGGTGCAGACCACTAACAGAGGTAACAAATATGACGGCGTTGCCGCGTTTTCAGTTTTTAGGTAAACGTACTTTATAGATATTGTTCGAAGTTATCGCCGTTTGATTCAAAAACACAGGTGCGTGCATGACGTAGCCAAGCATCGGTGCAGGCTTTGAGAATGGAGTCCCTCCCCCGAATGAAAGCACCAGCTTGTTCAATTCTGAGACGAAGTTCGTCAACCGTATACACTTCAGTTTTGTACACTAAGCGTTTCATTTCTCCCCAAAGAAAAAAATCACATGGTGTTAAGTCTGGAGAACGCAGAGGCCACGCTACGGGTCCATTACGTCCGATCCACCTATTCGGAAATAATTCATTCAAAAACTCACGCACTTCGCGTCTAAAATGGGGCGGTGCACCATCGTGCAGAAACCACATTGATTGTCTTACACTTAATGGCACATCTTCTAACAAGGAAGGCAAAATGTTGCGTAAAAAGTCTAGGTATTGCATCCCGTCCAATCGATTTGGGAGAATAAATGGTCCAATGAGCATACTGTTCACCATGCCAGCCCAAACATTCACCGAAAATATTTGTTGAAAATCTGCCCGACGGACAGCGTGCGGATTTTCTACTGACCAAACATGAGTGTTGCGAAAGTTATTCATCCCATTACGCGTGAACGTAGATTCGTCTATCACCAATATGCACTTCAAAAAGTCCGGATTATTGTCATGTTGATGCAACAACCACTCACAAAACAGCACTCTTGCTGGAAAATCGTCAGGTTGAAGGGCTTGTACACATTGGATGTGAAACGGATACAACCTCTCTTCACGCAGCGTTTGCCACACTTTAGTTTTTAATACTTGCACTTCTCTAGCCACGTCTCTAGTGCTTGTTGTTTTTTGAAACGCAATCGATTATACGGGTTCGTTTACCTCTACACGCGTGACCGTAACCGTCGGTTGAAGGTTGCATACTGACCTGACACACTGACCCCGACCCAGTTCTGTCGTCGGGTTGAGCCAGTGACCTTGTACCACGCGGTGATGTCGCGGGTCGCGGCTACAGATTTTTGATGTTGCAGAGCCCTTTATCTCGGTTCCCTTGAGACATTGGTGTATATTGTACTAAGAAAAATTGCTTATGTTTTCAAGATCTACACGTCGTGTAAAGGAAAACCCCAACTTTGCGGACACCCTGTATATTTTAATGAGATTTTAGAAAAGTGACACCTTTATCAAAATAGTTTACTTTAAATTTCGACTTCGAATGCCTTCTTGTTATCACAGATTGAGAATGATACTGAAAATCTGATAAAATATAAGCTAGTAGGTGGGAGATTGAAACTGAAAGTTGGAATAAACCCTCATAAGTTTGACTGCCCAAAAGGTGTGCGGCCTTTAAGAGAATGTGGAGCATGAGAAAACGCGTTGCGTAGGATGCTTAGACGAATTGTTAAAGAACGATGTTCTCTTCACCTCAAGTTGGCAACCATTAGAATTCATTCAGTGTGACTCAACTTACGAAGAATCGAAAGCACTAGAAGATCCACTGCTTGAAGATTTTACTGTATCTGTAGCAGGTGATCATGATACAAAAAGTGAGTCTTGCATTTCTATGCTTGTATCTGAAAAGAAAACCATTACTTGGGTCTTATTAAGCTTTCTTCGTTTATATTCATAAATGAGTCTATCGAAGAAGTTAGGATCCTCTACTACGTCTAAATTTGAAGAACTTCCACTTTCGTTATTCAAATATTTCCCTTTGATAAACTTAATACTGCCGACTTTAGATAGCGCCGGTTTCATCCAGTAACATTCTACGCAAGTACTTGCAGGTTCCTCGCTTCTTTTCAAAAGCCACATCAAAAACGTTATTGTGTGTTTACATCCACCAAGCTTAGCAGCACAATTATGACACACAATAGTTTCAATTTTTTCCTCACTTTCGTCACAGACCAACGTACCGTAGTAAGGCGTAGTTTTCACTTTATGTTCAGGTGAACTATGCATTTCACAAATATCGTGTCTTATTAGGTATATCGCACACCTTACAGTTATGTAGTTGTAATAGTGTATAAGGTCCTTACTTCCAAAGTTGAAGAAATAAATTCCATCACTGAATAACTGTCAATTTTGGGCAAATTGTCACTTGACCCTTTTACAAAACCGGCTTCCATAATGGTACGAACTTACGCAGTACTCTATAGTTATCAACTGGAAGCCACGTGGCCGAGCGTTGAAGTGTGACGTCAGACGTGAACTGACGGCAGCAATGATTTCGGGCTATAATGCGCCAAATTTAAGTATTCATTTCTCTGTCATTGATTGACCGTTTTTTCACTGGTTCATTATATTTCACCTATATTTTGCTGGCATGTCATTACTTATGCGATTCTGAACATACAAAACTTCTCCATTGTTTAAAAAACTAATTCTAATTCTATCGATTTCAGTCAGTTATTCCAACAATTTCAAATCCAAAAAGAAATAGCTCAATTCTGTGAATTTAATGCAATACTAACATATCCCAAAATCTAAACCTGTTCCATCCTCAATTTAACAATGCTGTAGATTTTTTCTGCTACACTTCTGACATTTACCACATTACAGATTTTTGTTTACAATGAGCTCTTCCACAACCTCGTTATGCTTTTATTGTGAGAAAACAAAAAACTGAAAATGGAAAAAATATATTAGGTAGATTTTTTGTAATGCTCACATTAATTGCATGCTATAAAAAAACTCCGCAGGAATATTTTGCGACCTGAGTGATTCATGTAAATATAAAACACGACCTATTAAACTGCTTTCCTTTGTCGAAAAACACTTTCACCCTTATGTTTTACTCTCGAAGATATTACATATTTTAAACGAAATCCGTTTGTTTTTGTAGCATATCAAATCTATATATATATATATATATATATATTTAATAGTTTTCTGTTCAATAACATATCTGATGATTGATTGACTGATCAACATTGCGCGTCGGTTTGGCCTTTCTAGGTCTGTAATAAAAAACTACCAACTACCCAACAAACATATGATGCATTTGGCGTAATTTGCTTCTAGGGAAAACCAACCACTTCAGAGTATCCTGCAATGTACCTCAACAATGAGATGCAGCCACCATGAACAGTTAAGGTTTTTTCTGGAATCCATACCTCAATATTATCGCCAAATTCATTGTTTGATTTGTCCTAGAATTATTAACAAGTCAGTTTCACATTAATCAAAATAATAGTTTAAAATCTATATTTAAATGATGTTTGTATGAAGTAATGCCAAAGTGATTATGATAACTATTAGAGAGGAGGAATCATTTGATATAAGTAAAAAATAAAAATATAAGTCTTGAATATTATGTGCTACAGAATAAGAATTATGAAATAAATATTAATGGCCGAAACTGTGGAGTGCATACAATTTAATCCGCATTGTTGATAGATCCGTATCAATCATGCACCTAAATTTCATGGTTGCTGAATGGGCAAATAATATTTATTTAAACTTGAAACACAATACAAAGAATGAGTGAATAAATATGAAGGAGGCATTGCCTGTGCATGGACCATAGAAGTTCCAACTGTATTATTGAAACATGAAGAGATATACAACTAATCAACGAATTATTTGATCACATTTACTATTAATTTGTATACGTCTGGCCTTGTCAAAGAAAAAACCCATTCTTATTGTTTCAACTAGTTCTTGAATTTATACCCAAAGTATAGATCCTTTATATCCTCAGATAAATGTATATATAATTTTGGACCTAAATAAAGGTATGATCGTTGCGTTATAGATTTCTTTGATCTAGGTACAACTGTTCCTCTTAGTTTATGCATTGTGTGGTGATTATTTTTAATTTTTTGGTCGTTATTGATGAATTTGTGATAGTTATAGCATGTAAGAGATAAAGCTGTTTCAAGTCATATGCATGTGTATCTTTGTATGACATAAGTTGGATACATTTTTGGTTTGTTGAACATTGTTTTTAAAATCATTTGTTGAAAAATATCCAAATCATGAACATGAGTTGAGCATGTAGGTCCCCATGCTAATATACCGTAGGTTAAATGCGGTTCGAACAAGGTACGGTATAAGGTATAGAGATATTCTTCTTTTAAAATGTTTTTGATATATTCAATTTTATATGATACATATCTAACTTTTTTTTAAAATATATGAAATATGAACATCTCATCGCAAGTGTGGATCCAGGAATATTTCCAAGATATTTTATATCTGATGCTTTGTTATACATAGATATTAGAGTTATTTGGAATAGGAAGAAAATGGTAAAAAATGTGTTTTAGAGTAATTAATGCTCAATTTTCTGTTATTAAGCCACTGGATAACTTTGACAAAATCATTTTCAACTATATATTTCAAATTGAAGCAATTATCACCTTTATAAAAACTGCTGTGCCATCTGCGAAACTTACTATTTTGCCAACACAGTCAATTTGAAATATATCATTTAAGTATATATTAAGAAGCAGCGGACCTAACACGGTTTCCTGTTGAACGGCACATTTGATAAGCATTTCATTACTGAACAATTTTGATACTTTAACGGATTGCTGTCTGTTGGATAAGTAATTTTCTAGCAATGAGTACATCTTTGCTCGGAAGCCAACTCTCTCCAATGTGTCTATCAATAATTTATGGTTTACTGTGTCGAAAGCATCTCTTAGATCAACAAAAATACAAGATTTTAGTGTATTTGATTAACAAAGTCTAATATGGCGTCTGATGTAGACTTCCCTTCCGTAAATCCGTATTGGTTTTCTCATGCACCTAAATTTGATGGTTGCTGAATGGGCAAATAATATTTATTTAAACTTGAAACACAATACAAAGAATGAGTGAATAAATATGAAGGAGGCATTGCCGGTGCATGGACCATAGAAGTTGCAACTGTATTATTGAAATATGAAGAGATATACAACTAATCAGCGAATTATTTGATCAAATTTACTATTATTTTGTATACGTCTGGCCTTGTCAAAGAAAAAACCCATTCTTATTGTTTCAACTAGTTCTTGAATTTATACCCAAAGTATAGATCCTTTATATCCTCAGATAAATGTATATATAATTTTGGACCTAAATAAAGGTTTGATCGTTACGTTATAGATTTCTTTGGTCTAGGTACAACTGTTCCTCTTAGTTTATGCATTGTGTGGTGATTATTTTTAATTTTTTGGTCGTTATTGATGAATTTGTTATAGTTATAGCATGTAAGCGATAAAGCTGTTTTAAGTCATATACATTTGTATCTTTGTATGGCATAAGTTGGATACATGTTTGGTTTGTTGAACATTGTTTTTAAAATCATTTGTTGAAAAATATCCAAATCATGAACATGAGTTGAGCATGTAGGTCCCTATGCTAATATACCGTAGGTTAAATGCGGTTCGATCAAGGTATAAGGTATAGAGATATTCTTCTTTTAAAATGTTTTTGATATATTCAATTTTATATGATACATATCTAACTTTTTTTAAAATATATGAAATATGAACATCCCATCGCAAGTGTGGATCCAGGAATATTTCCCAGATATTTTATATCTGATGCTTTGTTATACATAGATATTAGAGTTATTTGGAATAGGAAGAAAATGGTAAAAATGTGTTTTAGAGTAATTTATGCTCAATTTTCTGTTATTAAGCCACTGGATAACTTTGACAAAATCATTTTCAACTATAATTTTCAAATGAAAGCCATTATCACCTTTATAAAAACTGCTGTGCCATCTGCGAAACTTACTATTTTGCCAACACAGTCAATTTGAAATATATCATTTTATATATTAAGAAGCAGCGTACCTAACACGGTTTCCTGTTGAACGCCACATTTGATAAGCATTTCATTACTGAACAATTTTGATTCTTTAACGGATTGCTGTCTGTTGGATAAGTAATTTTCTAGCAATGAGTACATCTTTGCTCGGAAGCCAACTCTCTCCAATGTGTCTATCAATAATTTATGGTTTACTGTGTCGAAAGCTTCTCTTAGATCAACAAAAATACAAGATTTTAGTGTATTTGATTAACAAAGTCTAATATGGCGTCTGATGTAGACTTCCCTTCCGTAAATCCGTATTGGTTTTCTCATAAAATTTGATATTTAGTGAGAAACTGAAGCATTCTAGTACACATTATTTTTTCAAATATTTTTGCACTGATATAGGTCTATAATAATAATTGTCAATATCTTCAATACTTCAATACCGTCAAATCCTGGGCTTTTGCGATTTTTCAAGGACATAATTGTAGTGGTTCTGCTTTGTCTAAAATAAACCGAATTTAGCGATCTTTTTGGAACTTGTGTTAAGGATGTATATTTGAAAACTGATTTGCTAAATCTTCACTTATATTAGAAAGAAATGTTATAAATTCGATGTAGATTTTTTGGGTATCCTTTATAATTTCTCCCGACTCTGTTTTTAATTCAGTAATACATATATTGTTTAGATTGACCATTTGTATTTACAGGAATAATAGACCAAATATCCGGTTAATATTGGACTGTCATATGGGCTCAGCTACGTTCAATGTTTTAGGTTTCTAGTTCATTAGGACTGTTCAAAAGTGAAATAGTAACAGTAGAAAAACTTTAGAGGTGCAGACTTATGCCTTAATGAAAATGAAAAAGTGATGAGAGAACATACAAGCCATATTAATATCGCAAGTTTTCAATCTGGCTTAAAACTTACGAGTCATCATATTGTCTTAAACAATAGACCAACATAATCCAGCAGGTGGAATACGTTGAAATCTAAATGCCGACATGTCATACTTATTGAAAGTTTTGGTATTATCTTACTTGTATTAATTATACTGATTATGAGAAAGTGTAGAAACAAATTGGATGGTAAAAGTGCTCCGAGAGACGAGCTACACATCAAATCTACGATAATGCTTCCTAACATCGAATATTACGTATGAAATATGATTTTGAAGCTTTTGTACAAAAATGTAGTTCACTTGAGCGAACAGAAGTTATGTAACATTTTGTTTAAATCCGTGTACAAAACATGCAACTTTAGACAAATAAATAAGCAGTATCTTGTTCGGATGATCAGAATAGCAGATTTTTTACTATAGCTAGGCGCAGTATAGTTCAAATGGTTTATAGTAATTAAATTTATTTCTTTGACCAATAAAACCATAATCTCAAAATTATAAGGGGAATACGAAACATGAAAAAATAGTTACATCATTGAATCCAATGCAAAATCATCATATTTTGAGTATATTTTGTCTACAAGTTGAAAATCTTAAAGTAGGATTAGGCTAAGCCTTAGCCTAAGCAGTTAATCCTATTGCTCTTTGTGAGTGCTTCTTGACGTTAAGCTTTCAGCAAGATTCAAAAAGCACTATTTTTAGATCACATTGAAAATATTGTTGATACTATTCTAATCAACCAAGCGCCAAATGAACAGAAATAATTAACATATGTTTTATTTAGCTAATTTTACCTCATTTACTCTAAAACCAATTTGTGAAACTGAATCATTTGGGTTGATATCATCTTCCTGTAATAATAAAATGAGGATGTTGACTGTCTGTGATTGTGATACATGATTCTAAAATCACTACATGGGAAGTGTTGTAAAAGGACACATAACCAAAACAAACAAAAACACAATATTACCTGAAAATTTGCATCTGGGTATAAATGATGATAAGTTGGTAGGCTCTTATCCTACAAAAAAGAAAACAAAGTGGAAACAATAAAAACAAAAAGCTAACATAATGTAACTGTAACATAAGGGCTGTATAAAAATGTTCTGGGACCATAATACTAATTTAAACAAAGATAATCTGCTACTCAATAAAAAGGAATAATTGATTCCATCTACAAACTGCTAGCTACTAATAACACAATTTTGGTGTGTCATCAAGCAACTATAATATTCTTTTTAAATACATATTTTCATTGAAATTTAATATTCATTGCAATGTTAATTACAAAAAATATAAATATATCATCAAATATTAAGTAAAATACTTTTTTATGCTGCCAATTTTACACCAACATTGATGAAGATTCACAGTTTTGTTTTTTGTTTAAGTATACTCAGTGTTACACCCAGAAAAAATAATTTCTTCAATTTGATTTTTTGGCAATAAGGTAGTCTTACATCAAGAATGAAACGATAACATTCTCACGAAATTTTAATGACAAGTAATAAGTAATAATGTGTTGGGCGACCCCGCAGCTGAATACATTCCTGTATACCTACGTCTAGGCCTCGACGAAATGATATTATTGGAGGTCTAAGCTGTAAGTTGTATACTGTAGCTGGCAGGAAACGGCAGTGCATAGCTGCATACAGAGGTTTTGTGTGCTAATAATCTGTATTGATGATAGTTCCATTGGTTTCAGGTAGACTTCACTGGTAGCATATTCAGTAATAATTTTCTCACGTAGCAAGTATCACTGATTTTATACTCGTGCAGACCAATACTCATAATCTTCCAGTTGCGATTAAACCAAGTTTCCCTCTTTCACATCTTCTCAGAGATAAACACTACTTGGCTTTCTGCAATCAACAATGCATGCTTGAGTGTGTCCAGTCGTTGAGTCATTTCTCCATAAATGGACGCTCGCAGCGATCATAGCGAGCAAACGTGGAGTTGCACACTAAAAGCCTGGTCTGCAAGATGACATTTGGCGTTCGTTTTACTTTTTTTGTTTTTTTTTTTACTTAATACCCCTGCCGGTCATCTTACGCACCTTTTAGGTATATTCCACACGTAGATTTCCCGGTACATTGGCCTTTAATAAGACTTAAAATGAAAGAAGCTCAACCTGTCGCGAAGGGGACTGCGTCTGTGTAGGCCAGTGACTTACAAGTAGACCGCTGGCGCATTGGCCTGGATCCCTAAATCTGGGTAGAAGCAAATTTTCTGAGGTGTGGGAAAATCTAAAAGACTTTAATTTTGCTAAATATATGCAAATATACTCAGTGGCATTAGACGTGTTACACCCAGAAAAAATAATTGCTTCAACTTGATTTTTTGGCAATGAGGTAGAAACGATAACATTATCACGAAATTTCATTGCCAAGTAATAAGACAAAAAATAATAATGTGTTAACCCACCCCGCAGCTGAATACACTCCTGTATAAGTCTAGGCATCGAAAAAATCACACGATCGAGGCGAACAAACACAAGGATAAGACGTTAACATTGTTGCCACAGCATGCTTTAAATATAGTTAGTCATTATGTTGCCAAAAAACGAGTTGAAGAAATTATTTTTTTTGGGTGTAACACTTCCAATGTCACTAGAACCTAGAAAATACCATATGGATATGCTCAAAAAGCTAAACTTTTACTTTGATGTTGGTCTAGCAAGAAATAGGCATTATATATACTAAGTGACATATAAATCCGAACACCCAGTTTAAATGGTTTTATTTTAATAAAATTTTGTATAAGTACTTAATGAAGCATAATAAGTAAATGATAAAAATTTCAAAATGATTGCACTGCTTTAAAGCCCTTTGACCTTTAATAATGTGTGGATGCACCCTGATGTGCTACGCATTCTCCAACGCGCCTAGGCATGCTGCTGATCAGGTGGTCAATGTCCTCCTGTGGTATCTCATTCCAGGCAACCACCAACTCCTCTCGAAGTGCTTCTAGAGTCTGAGGAGGACGTTGCAAATTGAGCAATATCCTACCCATCATATTCCACACGTGCTCAATTGGAGATAAGTCGGGAGATCTTGGTGGCCATGGTAACAATCTGACATCATTATGTTGAAAGAAGTCTACTGTGACTCTTGCCACATGTGGTCGGGCGTTATCTTGTTGGAAAGTTGGATCTGCCAGGGTGTAAAGATAGGGTAAAAGATGCGGTTCTAGAACTTCGTGGATATAACGCTGCGCGTTCATGTTACCTCTGATGAAGATTAAAGGTGACCTGGAACCATAAGCTATAGCACCCCAAACCATAACTCCAACAGTGTGATGAACATGTCTTTCAACAAAAAACTGTGGATTCCTCCTTTCACCACGTCGCCTTCTAACCCTGGGCACGACCATCGTGCATGCCTAAACAAAATCGAGACTCGTCACTAAAGACAATACTGTTCCATTCCTGATCCCAGAGTGGCCGTTGTCTGCACCACTCAAGGCGATTACGTCGGTGTTCTCGAGTTAAAGGGAGGACCCAGTGTGGCCGGTATGAAAACAAGCCAAAACTTCTCATTCGTCGGTAAACACTTCGCATGCCAATAGGTCTTCCGTGTTCTGCAAACCATTCATTTGCAATGGACCTGGTAGTGGAGAAACGGTCCCTTAAGACCAATAATCTTAGGCGGCGATCTTCACGGCCTGTTGTTCTACGGCGGCGTCCAGTGCCCCTTGCTCTTTGCGTACGGCCTTCTCGAAGCCATGCATGACAACACCTAACCACAGTGTCTACACTTCTTTGCACTCTAACTGCAATTGCCCGAAAAGAAAGTCCAGCTTCTCGAAGTCCCACTATACGGCCCCTATCGTAAAGGATGTCAAGAACCAAAATCCGCCAACGTTGATTCTTTACTGCGGCTGAAATATTCATTTTTAGAGCGTTAGTGAATTAAAAAAAAAGCAGTATAAAAACCGGAATGTCCAACTGATAAGGCTGAACATTTTTTCACTTGTTATTTACAGTAAGATAAATACATTCACCAACTTTTATTAAAATAAAACCATTTAAACTGGGTGTTCGGATTTATATGTCACTTAGTATATAATTAACCAACGATAACATAAGGTCAAAAATAAATTATATACTATTACCATAAAATCAGTATTATTTTCTTTTTGTTCATCACCAGGTGGTATATTGTAAGGAAATGCTGCTGGAGGAGCAGATGGTCCTGCAGATGGATCCTTTGTCTGCAGCGACTAAAAAAAGTACACAGATAAAACATGACAATAGTATATTCTATGGATGCACCCAGTACTACTTTTGTTTTATAGACGGCACCGAGCACTCCGCTAGATTTGAATTCCGAGTACTGGGTATTCGGTCCCTGGATAGTCTGTTAAGCTACTTCGAGAGCTATTTGCAATTTTTTCATCTTGGCTGTTACTGATGAAATTAAGAATAACTAAATTCAAGTTGAAGGATCCGTGTTTACACTTTAATTGATGTATATAGTGTGTCCCAGCTTCGCTTCTCTATACAGGGATCTCGACTCCTGTTATACCTGCAGCAAAGGTTAAATGGGGAAGGTTTTAGAGGATACTTAGTGCATTCGATAGCAGGCTTCAGATTTACGATAGGTCAATTGGTTTTGGAAATATCGGCGAAAAACAAAAAATGTCGAATTTTGTTTTTTGTCAGTAAATCCGAAACGGGTAATTTGACAGATGCCAAAATGTGACATTATTCGGACATTTTCTTATGGCCGCCATATTGGATTTTTCGATTTTTGAAAAGAGCGTAAAATTTCCAGCATAGTGATGTCTCACACGTGCGTAAAAGATTGGAGTATCATGGAAATATCATCACACGTAATGTTATGTATTATTTTTTTTCTAATGAGGCCATGAATTATTTGCCAGAAAATAAAATTCATAAGTAACGCATTTTTTTCATCTAAGGCGTTGACTTTAAATAATTCAAAGTATTAAAATTGTGTTTTAATAAGAAATCTGATAAAAAAATATTATCAAAACTTGGTGAAAACGGCCGGTATTCCATACTAAAATGAAGAAAAGTTTGACATGTTAGCAGTGTACTTGCAGTCACACAGAAACGCCGACATTACCTCAGAAAGGTACTTGGAGATGTACCCCGAACGATGTCAGCCTCATAAAACCCTACTTAGAAAAACAGTGGTTAATTCAATAAACCCTGGGGCCTTCGATCAACCTAGAAGCAAATACAATATTGAAAATGAAAATCGCGACACAGACATTTCACAAGCTGGCAGCGAAATCCCTATTGCATCAGTAAGAACTATACAACTAGAAATCGGTGTGTCAAAATCAACAGTAAAGAGAGTATTGAGTAATAATAAGTACCCTCCATACAAACTTACAATAGTTCAAGGACTTAAGGAAACTGATTCGTGAGTGATATACTAGGGAGTCTAATGAAAATCGCGATTTTGTAAATCACATCTGGTGGTCCGATGAGAGTAGGTTTACGAATTGTGGACTTTTTAATAAACACAACTCTCATCACAGGGCTGTGGAAAGCCCTCAAGTAGTGGCAGAGAGATGTCTACAGACCAGATTTGGAAGTAACGTTTGGTTTGGGGTCATTGGTAATTTAATCTAAATTACCTTTTTCAATTGGGCACCTATTGGAAATTAGGTATTAATCATTTCCAGGAAATCGACTTATAGGACCATTTTTGTTTGACTACAACCTAAAGGCAAAGGTACCTAGAGCTGTTGCGAAACCAGATTGTGACAGCCTTACGAGCTAGTCTCACGGAAGATGAGTTTAGAATAACCTAGTTTCAACACGATGTCCGGCTCACAACACCATTCAAGTCAGGAACTTCTTAAGAGAGCACTTTGATGAAAGAATAATTCCATTAAATGGTTCAATATATTGGTCTAGATCCCCTGACCTTTCACCCTTGGATTTCTACCTCTGGGGTCACACAAAGAATGAGGTGTATGAATTTGATCCTCCCGCGACCATAGAAATCGAACGAATTTTGAGCACAGCTAAAAACATTAACAGAAATACACTAGCTAAGGTTGTATGAAAAACAGTCACCAATTGTCAAAAATGTCTGGATGCAAATGGATGTTATTTTGCAAATCTGTAAATTAATACCCACTTACATAATTAGATTTTACTTGTTTTTTTAACACACGCATAGTTGGGAATTTGTCCCAAAACATTTGACTTGTTCAGAAGTCGATATTAACCTTAACATTCTATTGAAAATTATTTATTATGCGTTTTTTATACCTTACGCATTGATGTTTCGGTGATAACTCTAATCATTTATGCACTTGTAAGAAATCACTAGACTGGAAATTTTACACTCTTTTCAAATATCAAAAATCCAATGTTGCAGTCATAAGAAAATTGAAAGTTGAGGCGGGTTGACGATTGAGACATGTCATACATGCGATCTTATTTTTCTTAAAAAAATAATGTCACATTTTGACAACTGTCAAATTAACCGTTTTGGATTTACTGGCAAAAAAAAGTTCCGCCATTTTCGGCTTTTAGATATTTTCAAAACCAGTTGATCAATCGTAAATCTGAAGCCGGCTATCGAAAGCATCAAGTTTCCTCTAAAACTTTCCCCATTTAACCTTTGCTGTAGGTATAACAGGAGCTGAGATCATTGTATAGAGAAGCGAATCTGGGACACTCGGTATAGCTATACTTGAAATAACATAAATTAAAGCATTGCCAAGAAATATTTAAAAGTTTAAAATAGATTTTTTTGTCTGATTTGGTCGAGTTCGTGCATTTCGCAGTTTTCAGTTAGCTAGTGCATTTACAGCATTTGCAAATAAAGCTATTTTTTCAGTAAATGTCTCCTTGAGTAAGTTAGTGCATTTAGATGGTGTAAATAATTACAAATGAAGCAATTTTTCAGCAAACTCTACTCCTACACGCATAGATATGAAATTTATCTGTAATTTTTTGTTATTATTTTTTGATGGTTTGATGACTTTTATGCTCGATTTTTAGAAAATCAAGATGGTGTTGATAAAAAGCATTCCTATGGTTTATTCAAGTTTAGTGTGAATACCGGGTAAAAACCAAGTACTTGGTGCATCCTTAGTATTTTCTTCAGACTGTAAAATCACCAACTTCTGCTTTGATGTAAAGAATTATTATATGAAGAATTTCTTACTTGTTGGATTACCAAACAATCACATCATGATTGGTGTGTTTGAGTATATGACCAGAGCTTCAAATTACCAGATCCGAAACCAATGATCTTTGTGTAGGAACAGATTAGCAACTGACTCCTTATCTTGCAATTTATATCACTTAAGAGATTGTCAGAAGAATTTTACATTATTTGTCATCGTCAGACCAGTCTGGTGGACCTTTGCTCTTAGTTAAAAGTCTCATTTATCTGATAGTCTGCCAGGTCAGGTTACATAGATACCTGACAAGGCCCAGGGGAAAAGAGAAAGAAAGGCATACAGCAAAAAAGAGATGTAAATCAGGTGAAGCGCAAAAAGCTCAAGTATTATTCTTTTTATTTTGTCATGAAGAACAGTAGGGATTTGAAATTATTTTTTAATGAGGTGAAGCCTCTAAAGAAAGATACCATACAAAATTTAATGTAAATATGTTACATCTATTTATGTGAAAATCACACTACTTTTCATGGATTTTGAAACCAGGTTTCCTAGGGTTTTTTGTAGATTAGTGGTGGAATGCTATAGGTACTAGTTTTAAGCTAAGAACTTTTTTTAAAATTTAAATATTTTGTGAAAATGTGCATGAAGGTTAGGTATATGAAGACTTAGTATTCAAAAATAACTCTAAATTTGTTTCCCATTTATATCTACATATTGACAAGATCTATAAATAAATCAATTCGAAATTTTGAAATTCATTCAGTTCAGTGCTAGAACAGAAACAAGAATATGTAAAAATATTTTACTCACAGGATAAGCAAATGGTTCCATTAAGTTTGGCAAAGGTGGGGGCTGCGGAAATCCCACAAATCCTGGTGGTTGAGGCATACCACCACCTCCTCCTCCTAAGTTGTTTGAGTTTGATAAATCAATAAGCAAGGCATCCTTCCCTAAAATCATAATAGTAATTAGAATAGAGTTATCTGTAATATGCAGAAGTAATGTAATGCTGTTAGGCTAACCGACAGCTCCTAAGCTTTATTGATTCTCACCTTTGTCCTGTGCCATAACTTGCGGATCTGGTTCATAGTCAATATTGAATGTTTTTGCAATTTCTATAACATATTTTTCTACCAGTATTTTGGGAGGGCTCTGTATAGACATTTTATGCTTTAGTTTTGGACTGATAGTCTCAATTGATTCAATGCAACATGCTTCAGCATAACTAGGGCCATATTTTGCTGCTAGAAGATCAGCTATAACTTTCAGCTCCTAGAAGTATCAGAATGTTCAATTATATAATTTTTCAGTAGATGCAGAGTATGTGGAAGATGCATAACCATGGTAGTAATGAGTAAATTGATCAGCACCTCAAGTAAAAGTAAGTTGAGTATTTTTATATTGTTCAAATGTTACCTGTATGTCTGACTGCAAGCGAGGCGCAACCCATATCAAACTAGAAACTGCTTCAGCAATACCTTCATCTAGATCCTTCATGTTGGAAATCAACCCAAATCTTGCTAATAACAAATCACAATACATCTCAACTATCTCTAAAGCCTCAACTAGATAATCTTCTCTAATTATATACTCTACTCTTATTTTGGCCCTTTCTATCTTCCCAGCAGTTAAATACTCGGCGATTTCTCGCCTTGATTTCTCTGTGAGCTCGGTTTTCTTCTTTTGTAAAAGCTTTAGCCTAGAAATTGCTAAACGAAGATTTGTTTTTAGTTTGGTGTAGTTGGGTCCACTCGAAAACATCTTGGCTGATTTTTTGCTTTCGTGCTTTGTTAGAAAATGCAAAACAGCAAATTATACTATTACAGGTTTATAAAATGAATCATCTCCCGAATTGTCAAATGATTATAATTAAGATATTTTTCATAACAATCATCATCAGCTGATTTACTTCATTCGGACTTCACCATTCATTCAAACACGTCGCATCAGAACGTCCCATGTCACACCACAGAACACCACAGGCCACACACTACCCACAGAACCACAACACCATTCAAGAAGGGTATAAGATTGATATAGTGGATACCAAATAAAATCCGATGCACGTCATAGGTGATGTCATTCATAAAAATCATGGTTACCAACAGTTGACTACATTCAATGTGACATTTCTACTTGAAGTTTAAATTTCCCCGTCTCGATTCGGTTGGTAGTGCCGTGCAGAGAAATGTGAGGTTGCCACTTCTCATTTGTTGACATCAGTTGCCATTGTCCTTTTGTCGTACTATTAGTTCTTTATTGTTTAGTTTGTGAGTTTTGCGCTATTTGAGCTTTGAATCGTTGCCTTGCCAATTAAAAGTTGTTCTTTTCAGAACAAAAGTTACTGTGAAGTGGTATAAAGTATCCAAAATGCCAAAACAACTTAACAGTCGGTGTAAAGAGCTCATATCAATTCTGGCAACAGCGCACAGCTCCAGATCGATGACGTGCATCGGGTTTTATTTGGTATCCACTATAGAAGAGCCATTCGACTCCAGTGTTGCTTTGCTATAAAAAAGATTGACGCCATATTCTAAGTTGGTAACGAACCATACAGGGGAGAGTCAATAATAACTATGATGCTTTTTTATATACGTAGTCATGCCATAAGTTCTGTCCCTCGTTTTCAAACAAGTGTAGACCTGTTAATACTTGTCCGATTGTTTACATTGTGGTGTCAGTTGATTAAGCGCTTTTCGGGTAATTACATATACCTCCGTTTGTATTGATCTCTCGAAGCATAACGATGGAGTGGGGCAAGGCAGAGAACCGTATTGCAGTGATAGCTTTACATAAGTGTAATCACAGTGCTAGTCAGATTTTTGAACTCTTACGCGGCCTTCAAATATCGCGTAAATTTGTGTCTAGGACCATTCAGCGGTACAATGAGACGTCCTCTGTTGATGACAGGCCAAGAAGCGGAAGACCTCGTCAAGTAAGGACTCCAGCAGCCATCAAAGCCGTAAAAGCCAGGATTCAAAGGAATCCACTCCGGAAGCAGAAGATCCTATCCAGGGAAATGAAGATTCCTGTCCGGACGATGTCGCGCATCATTAAACAAGACCTAGGGCTAGGGGCTTACCGGAGACGTACGGGCCAGCGACTTACGGCCACCTTGCGACACATCAGAGCGACAAGATCCAAGAAGCTCTTGGAGAGGTACGCAGCTGGGGGATTCCGAAAGATTTTGTTCACGGATGAGAAAATCTTCACCATAGAAGACAAATTCAACCGACAAAATGACAAAGTGTATGCAAGGAGTTCACAGGAAGCTTCGGAGATCATTCCGAGAGTTGAGAGAGGCCACCACCCTGCGTCAGTCATGGTTTGGTGGGGGGTGTCCTACGAAGGGGTCACTCAGCTCCATTTCTGTAAACAGGGCGTGAAAACAAAAGCGGCAAACTATCAGAGCGACATACTGGATCCTATCGTCAAGCCTTTAAGTGGTACATTGTTTGCCAACCAACACTGGGTCTACCAGCAGGATTCCGCCCCCGCTCACAAGGCTAAGAGTACGCAGCGCTGGCTGGAAAGCAATGTGCCAGAGTTCATTGCTGCGGAAGATTGGCCCTCAGGGAGTCCGGACCTCAATCCTTTAGACTACAAGTTGTGGGACCTGCTAGAGCAGTTGGCCTGCTCCAAAGCCCACCGTAATATCGAGTCCCTGAAAGCGGATTTGATCCGATCAGCGGCAGCTATTCCTTTGGAAGCTGTGCGTGCAGTGATAGATGAGTGGCCCGCGAGATTGAAGCAGTGTGTGAAGGCCAAGGGGGGACATTTTGAATAAAACTGTTTGATTATGAATTCTAAAAATGTTGTCGAATAAATAATATCTTTCATATAAATATATCTTATCTTGTTTCATTTTTATCATGAGATTATCATGGGACAGAACTTATGGCACGACTACGTATACCGAAGCAGCTGCGCAGGCAGAAGCGTAAATGACAGGACACCGCGATTGCTATGGCTATGACGAATCCAAAGATACTTTGTTAATCCGATTTTTGAACTTCCCGAGGTTAATAGAAGTGTGGAAAACTGCCACTTGTAGATTGTTCCACAATCTCGACACCCTCGGGACAAAGGAGCGGTCGTATCGGCCAGTTCTGGATGTACGAAGTTTCACACGGTTAGGATGGGAGGCTGTAGTCAGGCAGGTCCTTCTCGCAGGCACTTCGCGCGGCGGCATTATGGAGGACAGCTCTGAGGAGCAAATCTCATTGGCGCAGCTGTAGAAGATAGACCTCCTCTGATCAGCATCGAGCATGGATGATGTAGTCGGGGCGACAGCATTCCAAACATGTGAGCTACTCGAGGAAAGGTCTTATTTGGGTACAGAGTGAGGAGGTTATGTGGAGAAAATTACTTAGTTACTAAAAAAATACCCTAGCTTTTTCCTAGCTGCTGCGGCTGTAGACGAGATGTGTTCGTGCCAGATCAAGGCCTCGGTGATCTGGACTCCGACCAGCCGAAATGAACGGTTTGGTAGAACTCGACCATCTGTCGAAACCGGTTGAGCGCCAGCGCGGTACTTGTTAGTGATATTGCAGTTCTGTATTTTCGAGGTATTAAACTGTACCAGATTGTTGCACTCCCAAGCAGTGATAACCTCCAGGTCTCTCATTGAGAGGAACTCGTTGCTAGTCTTCTTTTCTCCAGCTCACCGGCAGAGTTCGGCATGTCACTCGGAATTCCTGCATGTAGAGTGCTCTCACCATCAAAGCTGTGGATCGGATTGATCGTACAGGAAAAAAGGTTTCTGATATGTTTGAGGATCAATTTCGGAGTCAAGATCAACACCTGGGAAACATCCGCGTTGACATTGTGGGGAAAACACGTGAATTTCTACGGATATCTTGCGCTTTCGTGATATCAAGAGCAATGAAATGAGCCTCACTGGATGATGAGTTCACTCCACAGTTGCGTGACGTAAGCTAGGAACAGTGATGGGCGTTTACGCGTATACATTAATTGTCTACGTCTCGATGTATACAATGAATACAATGCATACAATGATGAAGACAATGTATAGAATAGCATAAGTGAGGTTAGGTTTATTCGTAAATGTCAGAAAATTGGTGAACAGTGAACCGGCAACTTAAAAAAAAAATATGGTTGGTCGTCCCAAGAACAAAGAAATCGATGAACTAGGGCTCATATTGTTTAAACATGGAAAGACATAATCCGTAAAGTGTAGTGTCTGCAAAAAAGTTGTCCAGTTCCGCTGAGTGAAATCAGTCCTTTGGCTGACTTTACTCAGCGTGGATTTTGTTTCCAGAAAGTATTTTGTTCTATTTTACTTAAGAAATGTTCCTAATTTATTTGAAACTGTATCTTTGTATACGTTTATAAATAAATTATATATTTATAGCTTTTTTCATTATTTATAAACTGCTTTCACAGTCAAATCAATAATGCAATGTTGCAAAATTTGTAGCGAACCTGATCTTTCAGTTCCACCTGAAATCGAAGAACCATTAGGATCGATCCGGGATTGATACTAAACAGATTCGACACAAATGTGTATTTGGGAGTAGAAAACAGCAAGTTACAGCTGTGTTCTGTGACCTTCATCACTGTTGTGCCAGGCAAGTGGTATGTGGCGCACCCTTCCTACACAAGAGGTGCCCTCTTCTCCCCCTCTCACTGTTCCTCGTACACATGGGAATTTAAAGGGGAAAGGGACTTCCGCCAGCACTGTATGCAAGTAGTTGAACTATGATTTGCTATTGTATGAATTGTATACATTATATACATTCTATATAGTCAAAATCACGAAAGATCACTATTACGTTATACCATAAATTGTACTGAAGTAATCAATGGACGTACGTCGATGATAAAATCACGATGTCTGTAACATAATGACAACAAATTTATATTAGGATTTTGCCAAGTTAGGTTATTTCACTGATTATGTTTATTTTCATTTTACTTCATGGTTTTGAGTGATACCTTAACACGTTGACTGCGTTGCGAAAAAACGGCACTATTTTTTCAGTGCGATATAAGTCGCCAGGGACCGATAGTATGACATTATTCTGACACGGTATAGGTCTTCGGAGACCGATAGGCAAGCGTTTAACTAAAGCCCTCTAACATTTTATGTTCAAACCAGAATCGAAAAATAATTGCAGAAATCTGTAAATATATTCTAGGTGACGGTAAGTTTGGCTCCGTATAAGTCCCTGACGACTTATACCGCATCAATGGCTAGATGGATTTTAAGCATACATATAACACTTATATTCATTTTATTTCAAATTTTGATATTTTACCAGTAAAACCAAACAATATATTTCAAGAATATAATACTTAAATCATAAATGTGCTGTTAGATGAATTTATTGCAACAAAGGTTATTATTATGTGTGTAATTTATTGAAGCAGGGAAGACACATGCCAGGTTTTCCGGGACAATCTTCACAAAAACTTGTTACCTTGGTGACTTTCTTATTTGCTTCACGGCTGGATACAGTTGTCCGAAGGTTTTGATAGCATCCTCTACAAATCTTCCTTTTTTTTCTTCCTGGGCCAGTTGGTTTTCTGAAAGTGTGAATCCTTTTACGTGTTGTTGGTTCGGAAACAACTGTAGGAGGATCTCTTAACTGTTCCGCTAAAGTTTTTCTAAATTCGGTTATTGACATTTTCTTCTTTGAAATCCGATTGAAAATGATCCAGGCATTTACGATACATGTTCCAAATAAAAATTCATTCATAACTTTTCTGTACCATTTTAGGCCTCGACGTAGAACCGAGTGATATGAAGACATCTGGTCACTATAATCAACTCCTTTTTTAGCTTTGTTATAATCTGTAACACACTTAGGCTTTACAATATCTTTCTTGATTTTTTTCCAGTTGCTTCAACATTTAGGGCTAAAAAGTACTTTTCTCCGCATGACCTTCTCACTCTATATAAGGCCCAGATAAGGCCTAGCCTCGAGTATTGCTCACACATTTGGGGTGCTGCCGCCCCGACTACATTGTCCATGCTCGATGCTGTCCAGAGGAGGGCGGTCCGACTGATCGATGACTCTTTCCTAACAGACAGTCTCGGGACTCTTTCGCACCGGCGGGCCGTCGGCGACCTAGCTCTTTTCTATCGCTACACCAACGGGCTTTGCTCCTCAGAGCTCTCTTCCATGATGCCGCCGCGCGATGTGCCTGCCAGACAGACCCGCCTGACTTCGGCGTCCCATCCTAACCGTGTCAAACTTCGTACATCCAGAACTGGCCGATACGACCGCTCCTTTGTCCCGAGGGTGTCTAGATTGTGGAACAATCTACGGGAGGAAGCTTTTCCCAGTTCTCCCAGTTCTACTAACCTTAGGCAGTTCAAAAATCGTATTAACAAAATTTCTTTGGAATCATCATAGCAGCCGCGGTGTTCCGGCATTTAGGCTTCTGCCTGCGCGGCTGTTTCGATATAAAAAAAAAAAAAAAAAACAGTGCTAATATGAGTAGGATTGGTAGTCAGCATTAAAACTGGTCTTTTATCAACCCATTTTATAATTTTAACGCACCCATTTTGTTGACCGTACGTCTCTCCTTTTTTTAACTTTTTTTGGAAAGATTTTGGGATTCCTTTCCTATTTGCACGTAGTGTTCCGCAGTAGACAATTTTTTCCTCATATAGTTTTTTTGCTAGAGGCAAGCTGCTATAAAAATTATCTGCAAAAAGATAATGCCCTTCTTTAGCTTCTACAGATTTTAGAAGTTCTAAAACCATCGTTTCTGAATGCTGTTGGCCTTCAACCTTTTCATTTTTTCCAGTATATATAATAACTTGGACTGTGTATCCATCAACAGCACACAATTTATAAAGTTTGACACCATACTTGTGCGTTTTATTAGGAATATACTGGCGAAATTTTAATCGACCTCTGAAAGGAACCATAGACTCGTCGATAACCAGAATTCTCCCAGGAGTCAGAACATTTCGAAAATTCCTGTTAAGTACCTCCAATACGTTTTTGATTTTGTACAACCTGTCGTTAGTATCCAAAAATGGGTCTTCGTTGTTGCAAAAATGTAAACATCGAAGTAAAAGGAGAAATCTATCACGTGGCATTGTCTTTGCTATAAACTCATTTCTGAACATAGGATCTTTTGACCAGTAGAAATTAACTGACGGAAGTGAGTTAAAACCCATTACTAGGATAATTGAGAAAAAACGCATGACTTCGTTTTTATCTGTGTCCACCCAAACATTTAATCTGGATTTTGAATTTCTTCGTCCTGTTAAGCTTTGTTGGGCGTATCTATTTGTCTCTTCAACAATGATATGCCAAATTCGTCAGTCACAAAAAGTTTATAAGCATCCAGTGGACTCAAAATCTGACTAACGTCAAAATTAAGTTCAGCTGACTCATTACAGACGTTAAAAGGTACCTGTCCTTCAACAATGTCTTGCCAATTATTAGTATCTAGCCCAACATGCGGCATATTTCCATTTCCATCATCTGTGGTGTCATTAGCTTCATTTTCATCAGCTGTATTTGAATCGAAATCATCGGCCTCGGCGGCACTGCCTGGATGGAAAATAAAAAAAATAAAACTGAAACAACAGAAACAGACATTGTGTTGGAAATATCTATTACCTTCGATTGTATCATCAAACAGATTATGTGGATTTTCATCAGAATCCGACGAAGATGGGTCTTTATCTATGATAGAATCATCACTCCCAAAGTCGGAAAATTCATCTCCACTTGTAAGATAATTTCTTCCAGGACTATTTATTTGATTTTCATCGTCCGATGACTCTGCTTCAATGATTTCAATTTCATTTTCAGGTGTATTTGTTTGTGTGTCGACATCTGTGGGCAATGCTCCAGTATTTTGTAGATTTTTTGTTATTTCCATAATTTTTTTAACGCGGGAAGAAAACATTTTCGGAGAGTAAATCTAAAACACAACTTCATCCACTCGAATTCGGTACACAAATGACGGCGAAACAGGATCGAACGCGTTTGTCCGTAAGATTATGTATATGTCTCTGGAGACCTATACCGACGTCTACTAATTATTTGAATCTGTCTGTGCGGTGTAGGTCTCCGGAGACCGATATCGTCATTATTTAATTTTTGATTCTACAAGTTGTGATGATCTTATAGCTACATGTCTCGCTTTTATAACTTGTATACTAACGAAAATATGCATTCCGCACCAAAACGAATATTTGAAAAAATGAGCTCCGCATTACAATGAAGCTTGATATCGGTCTCCGGAGACCGATATCGCAGTCAACGTGTTAATAATAATTTTAGTGGGAAGTTTTTGTTTTGAAAAAAAAACTTGTGAGTAGAATACCTTAAGTCAGGAACACCAAATACCAAAGTATATTCGAAAACAACCTAACCTGTTTTAACATAGCCTAACTATTCATCTTTCAAATGTGATCGATCACGCAACATGAAAACATCGTCTATCTTTGTCGGATCCATGCAAATTAGCAATACAGTTTCTTTAGAGAATAAAACTCTGCTTCTCTCTGTCTAACATATCTGAAACTTCAATAAACATATTCACAAATCGCTGTCATTTGTCTTTACTACATACTAAAATGATGACGTAGGTAATCGTCATCTTTCGTGATTTCGACTATACGTGAATATCGAGACGTATATATAGTGGATACCAAATAAAATCCGATGCACGTCATAGGTGATGTCATTCATAAAAATCATGGTTACCAACAGTTGACTACATTCAATGTGACATTTCTACTTGAAGTTTAAATTTCCCCGTCTCGATTCGGTTGGTAGTGCCGTGTAGAGAAATGTGAGGTTGCCACTTCTCATTTGTTGACATCAGTTGCCATTGTCCTTTTGTCGTAGACTGTCTACTATTAGTTCTTTATTGTTTAGTTTGCGAGTTTTGCGCTATTTGAGCTTTTAATCGTTGCCTTGCCAATTAAAAATTGTTCTTTTCAGAACAACAGTTACTGTGAAGTGGTGTAAAGTATCCAAAATGCCAAAACAACTTAACAATCGGTATAAAGAGCTCATATCATTGAATATCTACCGAAATCAGCTGTTTTTATTCAGAAAGGAATTTAATTTTACAACAAGTTTATTTATTTTTAATATAATGGTATTATAGTAAATGGTAGGTATATATAAACAATTTATTTTATTAAATTTATTTGCTTAAAAGAAAATGTGCAAATTCTGGCAACAGCGCACAGCTCCAGATCGATGACGTGCATCGGGTTTTATTTGGTATCCACTATATTCACCATTGTATACGCGCACGCACATCTCTTCAGTATAACGGCACGAATTCCGGACTACACGCTTTGTTGATGTCGAGTGACAAGAGCACGCGTCGTATGAGCAATTCCACGGTAATGTGAATCTGATAGTGGAAAACTATTTGTGCGAATAACCGTACTTTTGATAGTTGTTTCTACAGATAAAAACGGTGAAGTATAGGATTTGATTAAAAAAAAAACACAAAAAATTTGAACAAACGATTAAATCTTTATTTGAGTCGATAGAACGGTCGATATAATTTAATGTTTAAAGATTATTTCATGTAAATGTTGGCCGCGGCTCCGCTTTAGATGGCCCATCCGCAAGGTTCAATTTTGGCACACTCTCTCCAACATATCGGCCGGTATCTCACGAATAAATGCTTCAATATTGGCTTCCAGTGCGTCAATCATTGCTGGTTAATCTCTGTAGACATTAGTCTTAACATGGCCCCACAAGAAATAGTCCAACGGCGTTAAATCACACGAGCTAGGCGGCCAATTGACGGGCCCCAAACGTGAGATAAACTGTTCACCGAACTCGCCTCTCAATAGGGCCATGGTTTCGTGTGCGGTGTGGCATGTGGCACCGTCTTGTTGAAACCACATGTCAGCCAAGTCCAGCTCTTTCATTTTGGGCAAACAAAAGTTTGTTATCATCGCACGGTAGCGCTCGCCATTCACAGTTACGTTCCGGCCACATTGTCGTCTTTGAAGAATTACGGCCCGATGATGACACCGGCCCATAATAAACACCAAACAGTGATTTTTTCGGGATGCATTGGTAGCTCTTGCAATGCTTCTGGCTGGTCTTCACTCCAGATACGGCAATTTTGCTTGTTAACGTACCCATTCAACCAGAAATGAGCTTCCTCCAACTTCGCCAGCGCCCATTTACCAAATTAGAAACGTTGTGGGAGGTGGTGTGGCTTCAATTCTTGCACCAGCTGTATCTTATAAGGTTTTACACCCAAATCCTGTCGCAAAATTTTCCACGTAGTGGAGTAACAGAGGCCCAATTGCTGCGAACGGCGGCGAATCGACATTTCAGAATCATTATGCTGGTGAGCCAGTGATTACATAATATAACACAGAGGAATGCCAACGAATACATATTTTTATTTTGAATGATGCTACAGTACAAAAAAAGTTAAAAAACTATTTAGCGAATGATACTCCTGGATACCCTTTTGCGTTGATACCTGTCACTCGGTATGTAGCTCCATGGTCTGGAGGTGACAAAACTTCACCATTTATTGTAAACTTTGCTGTGGTGACATAGAGTTCATCCAAGTTTGGTCCTCCAAACGCAACAGAAGTTACCTGCAAAAAGTCCATTAAGTCGATCAAAATATTTTCTCACTAGTAAATTTTTCTTTTTGGGGCGTTTGGCATGGAACTAAAGCTCATTTGTTTCTCACTAGTAAATGCGGCATAAAAAAAAATTGAATCAAGTAGCTTGATATAGCTTCTGAACACACCCACTTTCAGCACGATATCACTGGTAGAAAAAAAAAAGTTTTAAGAATCTAGATTCCGGTCATCCCTGACTTGAGCTAAGATGATTGATATGTACTCGCATGTATCTTGAGAAATCTAAGCTCAAACTAAACATAAGCAATAACGTGCAATAATGGTTATGTAATATAAATATAAAATTGGCCTCAAAAAATAATTACTTGTTTTGCTGGAATATTAATGGCTTCCAGCAAAGTCTCTGGTTTTCGGGGATCTATCTTGATTACTCTATGTGACCCAAATACAGCTACCCAAAGGTTTCCATCAGTATCTATAGCCATACCATCCGTAGATCCATTGATACCATGTTTACTCAGATCGAATACAGTCTTTCTATTTGCTGTAAAAAATCACCAATCAATATTTGAAGAAATATATAGTAGGTTCTAGTATAAGCTGTTCTATAGATTTTGAGATATGCCTACGACATTCATTTTTGCCCATATTAGATTTGTGATGTGGAGAGTCGTCTTACATATATCTCCAGTTTCCTCCTCGAAGTCGTATTCATCCACAGTTCGGTTGTGAGAGTCAACGTAGTAAAATTTCTTTAGATCCAGGTTCCACGCCAGACCATTTGATATCCCCACCTTGCTAATGTGTTTTTTCACTTTGTTGTTTTGGAAAGAGTAAAGACCACCTTTTTCTCTTTTCACCTGACCGTTAACTGGTTCGCCTCCCATAGTTCCTAAAAATAAAGAAAAATAATAATGGAAGGATAGCGGTTCCCAATAGATGGATAATTGAACCATAAGCTACATTTGTTTGAAACTGAATTTCTAATAACGTTTTTGCTGCACCGGTAACTATCAGAAAGTCTTAATTTTGCGATTAAGTAAAATGTTAACAGACAAACCGCTGACTTAAGATCAATGCACACTAGCGTCACGTAGAAGATCTCACTTATGAGAACAGAAGCCAGAAGCCGGCATTAAATCTGGAATAAGATTTAATAAAGCATTTTAATGCCTTTGGCTTGCTCCTGCTGTACGCGACTCTTTCAGATGCTTTAGGATTCCATTATCTTCCCAGAGATCCGAGAGTTTGGTCCAGTGGCGTAGCTTGCTACTCAGGGGCCCCGTATCAAAATTTGTAGAGGGTCTCCACCCAACTGTGGCGAATTCCAAATGGAGGGTAAAACATGAAGAATAGATTTTTAAAGAAGAAATAAACGCTTGCATTGCATAATATTACGGATTGACCATAGGCGCCAGCAGGAATTATCCTCAGTCAGAGGGGTTAGATTATCAGCAAGAGGTAACTTTCTGTGAAAGTGTACCTACCCCCAAAACTTTTTAAAGAGCGGGGGTACAAAGTGGTTGTGAAAATTGTTGAAATTCAGATAGTTGTTTTTTGCTTTGCAATATTTACAACACTTGAGTCCAAATCTTTTAAATGACAGTGGTGTTATGTGTAAAAATTAAAATAACTTTCAGACCGTTTCAAAGTTTGTTTTTGTATGCCTGATAACTTTCTGTATACTTTTAAGGGTAATGAAATTTCTTGTTCAAGAGGTTGCAATTATTAAATATTTTGAAAATTTGCTTTCATCATTTTTGATGGTTTCAGGCTAGAGCGTATTCAAAAATATTATGGAGCTCTAACATTTTGTTTCTTTCGCAATGCACTTGGCACTATTTTTTCCGAACTTTTTTTATTAACCCATCCATAGCGGAAGAAGATTTTAGTATTTCGAAATTTGCACCCTCTGAAGGCAGTACCAGGCTTGATGAGTCAAAGTTGCCTCAAAGAAGTCCCAATATATTTTAATTATTTTTAATTTCAATGACCTTCTTTCAGCTGTTGCTGTTGTAATTTAGGCCGTACAATCTAAGGTTTAGCGCTTGAGAATTTTCAATTTAGTGCACGGCCCGAATATTTGCGTGACATTGTGACTAACACTTTGCACATTTTTTTGTTCGTACGCCCCTGTAAGCTGGGGTCCCATATCATTGATATGGCTGATACGGCGTTATCTACACCAATGGTTTACTCATATTCAACATACCCCAAAAATAGGATCGAAGATCAATTCGACCGACTACACACACCCTCGTAATGGTTGTATTTAAAAGTTAGACACTTTCTAGAGATGAGTCATAGCACATGAAGCACGGTATGTATTTATGAGACCTACAGAATGGGATACACGTAAAAAGACCCGACTAATAATAAGAAAGTTATGGCCGAAAACCGAGGCAAATGCAGGTTTTGGCACTTGCTGCTAATGCGACGATAATTTCACCCAGCTACTTAAAATTCTTCAAATCCGTGAGCTTCATACTTCTAAATAGCCTCAACAAAACTGGAGGCGATTGGTCAAGTAGTCTTTTAGAATTTCTAATTGCTGATCCCAAAACACCTGCTTTCCGAACATCACTACTAGTTTGCTGAGCAATATACCGGGTTTGTTCAAAGGGCATTTTATAGCAAAATACACGAGTTTGCCTTGCCGACTTGAATCACAAATCTTTCTGAAAGATAATAATTGTTATTTTTATGCGAAAAACGAAGGGTTACGTTTTTTCTTCTAAACAAATTCAAACATTTCGTAAATGAAAAGATTCGCTAGATATTCGGAAAACGTACGTAATTATACACATTCTAAAACAAAGCAGATGCGTCTATCACCTTTTGTTGCGAAGAAAAAAATTGTTTTTCAAGATTTCTTCATACGCCTGTGTATACATATTTAGAGCTGAAATTTTTACACGATCACAGATAAGCCTTAAACTTTCGAAAAAAGATATTTCATACTGAAATGCACTGAACTGCCTATAAAGATATTACGCAAATTAACTACTTAGTATGGAGCATGTGCTAAATGGCTGCATTATTGATGACTGCAAGACGTATGTCACGCAATCCAGTTTCTTTACGAAGGAATATAATTCTCCGGACCTTTTTTATAAAAGTATTAATATCTCGTAGTATAAGCCTCAAAACAAAATGAGGTGCCTTCGTACGTCCGACCAAGAAAAGAAGACAGTCAACCATGGACAGCTGTTTCGTGCTTCTTAGCTACTCATCAGCATGGTATAGGCTTGGTCTTATGCTGATAAACCGTACCTCCGGTATAGAGGATCAATGTGTTGCTTTCGTTTGTTCGTCCAGAGATAAGAGACCAAGCCCATACCATGCTGATGAGTAGCTAAGAAGCACGAAACAGCTGTCCATGGTTGGCTGTCTTCTTTTCTTGGGCAGACGGACGAATGCATCTCATTTTGTTTTGACATGTTCAATGGCTAGCAGACCACTCTGCATTCTGCCAGAATCATTACCCATTTAGCGGCGTGGCTATTAAACGGGAAACAGCGGTGCGCGATCTATAATGATTCGATTCTGGTGTGATAGATGGCGCTTCGCGCTATGTCATGCTAGTATACGTCTGTTTTCGAAATCTCGAACGATTCGTTTTTCGCATAAAAGTAACAATTATCTTTCTGAACGGTTTGCTCAGTAAACTAGTAGTAATGACTAAAAATTCTAAAACTACTTGTCCAATCGACTCCAATTTTGTTCTGGCTATTTAGAAGTATGAAAACTGTCCGGTTTTCAGTCATAACGTTTTTACTATTAGTCGGATCTTACGTGTGGTCTCATTTTGTGGGTCTCATGAATACCTAAAAATCTTATTTGAAGCGTGTTTTCGTTCCTGCTAACACTTTCAATTGAATTCCAAAAAACACGTTTTCTCATTCTTTGTTGTCCAATAAAAAGTTTTCCCACAAAAATTGGTAAACCCATTTTATGCGTCAATGTTATAAATATCCTCTTGAACAACTTGCAGCAATAAAACCAGAATTTACAATTATTTCGGAAAAATTTGCTAATATGATTGGACTAAACGATTTTTGGTTGAAATGTCGATCAATATTATGTCACAATTACGTCATTTTTACAATAATCATTTAAGAAATTTTGGCACATGATATGCCCGTCCGACTTTTTTCTCTCCATTCCCAGCCATACTCCATACTCCACCATATCTATCCACATCCCCGATAACGTAGGGTTGAGTGTCGTTGGAGCTTAGGCTGTATGAGGGTGGATCAAATATAAACCGGAATTTCACAAATACTTTTCTTATCACCAGCGTTCTCATAGTCTAGGTCCTTGTAGTGTAGTGTATTAGGAGTGGGGGATAATGTGTGGTGAGCTGTTACCCTCATTCAATGCGTCAGTATAGTCATAAGCAACCTGTCCCACCGTCCGTTGCGCAACGAGTGATAATAAAGTTTTTGCGTAAAATCCCCTTCATGCGTAGTTCGTGCGCAATTGGCTGGTCACTCAACCTAATTTAAGAACATGCTGTATACGGGAATAACCGATCTCCCATATACTCTAATTTTGGGTTCATGAAAATTCAAGGGAGCATTCTTCTTTTGGAGCAGAATGAATGTGACACAACAACTCAGAAATTTTAATCATTATTATCATTTTCAGATAGGTGCCTTGGTAGTCGTTCGCGGGTTAAATATTGCTCCCAGATAAAGTTTCCATCATGGCATGTGTGGGAGCCTGCCTCTGTGTAGCGTTGAGTATAGACTGTGTATTCATGGCGGAAACATCCCAGATACTGCACGAGCCTCATCTATGACTTATACTGAGTGGGAAAGATATTTAAAAATAAATGTATTGACAATGTATTTCAAAAGGGTAGAGCCGTTACCTCCGAGAATACAAGGCCTGACAACAGACTCGTGTCGTCACCACGAGTAGGCCGGTCGGCCGGCCGACAGCACGGCGTGCCGTACATCAGCGCTAGTGCACATTAGAGTAATAAGTTGATGTTATAAAAGCTTGCTAAAAATGATAAATTCTTCAATGATTAACCTCATGTTAGTCACAACAGATCAACAAAATGTCACAGGAATATGTGGACAATTTACTATTATTATAGGCATAATATAATGGTACTTGAAAATTATATAAGAAATGTAGTGCTTGTCGAACAGTTGTGTCCAGGAGGAGGTTTGAGGTTTGAGGTAAGCTCTTGCCAGGAAAGGACTAAGGAAGATGAGGAGGAAAAAGTGTAGGATAAATGATAAGAAAAACAGATAAAATCAAAGTAAAATAAACAACAGAAAAAACATAACAAAGATTAATGAAAACTTAATAAAAACTCTTAGAACAAAATACAACATAAAATAATAACAAAAATTAGAAAACAGAAAACAAGTATCAAAAATAAAAATTAGAACAACGAAAATTAAAGTACTAAATTCTGAATATGTACAAATAAACATTTATCTACAGCTATGTAAATGTTGATGTCTCATGTGAATGTAGTCAATTTACGTATCTTTGTTTTATTCGCGCTTGCAAGCTGTCGTTCCTTTTGGCATAATAATTTTTTAAAAATGTACTGACTGTGCAAATAACAATTAGTTTTATAACATAATCTGGTGAATGGACTGTGCAACGCGAAAATTAAGTGTCATTATATTATTATAAATGATTCCTAGTCATTTTCCAAAACTTTATTGAAAATTGTATAACTTAGCCTGACAATATTAATAACTGGATCCTTTTGGAATTTTAAGCCACCCCTACTCAAATTCTGTATAATGTTGTGCTTGTCTTCTATGTCATTATCATATGTGTGTGTCAAATTTTCCTTACAATGATCGCAGTGATTTTTCTTTAATAAGGCATAACAACAGTAACCAGCTAAGTAGGTGATGACAGGGATTTCATCATTTATACTATCAATATCAGATTGTAAGTTTTCAATTTCCCGGAAAAAGTGGTAATCATTAAAATTGTGTGGAATTTCATCTATTTCTAAATCATCATTTTCACGGAATTTATTTATTTGTATATCACCATAGCGAGACTTCAATGATATCAGGCTTCGTAACTTTTTCTCAGATTCATATGACTGACGAATTGATATATTATATTGACCCACTGCCAGTTGACGATACTTATCAAATCTATTTTCCAATGAGTCAGTTTGAAATTTACCTAACAATATATAATTACTGTGCAGTTCAGATTTACAGTACCTTACTAATTCCAATAATCCATATAAAGTATGATGTAGTGCAGTGTAAGTCTGACTAGTTAGTCTTTTTGAAAGTTTGCTGGATCATTCCACTCTTCTAGCCAATTTAGCATTTTTTGCAAGAATGTCAGCTTACTGTCATCACCTTGTCCATCACTGTTGGACCAAACAATAGGCTCATAAAGGTCATTTAACCGCTTTCCTTTCAATGGACTCAATGAATATCAAAAATTACAGAGTGAGTTATGATGAGTGCTGGTTTATATTCTAACTTAAACAAAGTAACTTTATCCTGAACAATTTTATGCCACTCATATGGACATTGCCATGAACTGAATGCCACGACTTTCTCACAAGTCTGAATAATTTTGAAAACTTGTTGATTTTTGTTAGGAGGAATAATCATCAATGCTACTTTGCAGTGCTGTAAGTAGTTGTTCTTGTTCCTTGTCCCTCAATTTCTCATCTCGGCTTCTTCTGCTTGATATGTCGTTAAAAGGTATTTTGGACAATTTGCAAAGATACTTGGAATTACATCTGCCTTTAATTTTGGATACTTGGTACAGTAATGGTCCTACCTGTCTTTTCGTCATGGAAGGTGGATTCCCAAGTGATGCTGTCCTCAGCAAAGTGCAAATTCCATACTCGGGTGTTTTTTGTAACCACTAAATCACTACAAGGGATTGCATTGAGCCATCTTTTACGACAGTTTTCATTCAATGGAAACGAAAATACGTGTACCTTCGGACCCTTCCCGTAATTAGCGGCACAATTAGGAACGCAGCACTTGTAAGGTATTTTGAAAGCTGGGCTAAACAATCGCGAGACACAAATATAAGTTTAAAACATCAATAATTTTCAGTTTACATAGCATAGAAAGATACATAATAGAGGCTCAGAATGTGAGGTTAGTTGGCTGTTGGACAGCTGTTGGATGTTAGCGGTGTTACCAAGGTTGCCACATATTCCAATTTTGAATGGAATATTAGACTTCACAAGTGACAGATTGAACGTAATATCAAAAATGTATTCTTGAAATACTGAAGCAGATCAGAAAGAATAATCACATCATCACTGAAGCTGCGCAGGCCCTGAGTACATCTTGCAAGTTCGCCCACAGAGAGGTACAACTAATTAGTAGATATTTCGATACTGCTATATCAAATCTAGATATGACAACACCGCAGAGAAATGGTGGCGCGGTTCTCTTGCCAGTCAGGCATCGCGAAACTCCATAAGAACATGCATAGGCCTACTTTGCGTGACGTCACAGGCTTTTCAGAGCCCAGTTGTTTGGCCTTGTACTCTCGGAGGTAACAGTAGAGCGTGAAATTACTACACAGGGTCTTCTTAAAGTAAGTGAAAAGTTTCATTTTTCTTCGCCACTGTAGATAAAGCGAATCAATGACGATATTTCTATTCAAATTGGTGAAACAATTTTTGAATTCGTATTGCAATTATGCAAGTTATGAAACGGTGAATGGAAATTGGTGGTAAAATGTTCATTTGGCTCCAAAACTTGAGTCACACTACAAAGTGACTCAAAGTTGGGGCAATGAAACATCATCTTGATTTACCCTGTACAAAAAATCAAACCGTAGTTATAATTGAAAACTCGTACCTACATATTAAAGCCAATGAGTGTACCTACCGTCTGCCGAAAAAATTAATAAACTCGAGTTAAAAATGTTATGACTCCAAATTTGACCAACATTTTGCTTGTTGTGTTTATTTTGAACCTGAGTGGATCTGTATGATGTATGTTGACCGACAAATGCAAGTAAAGACCATTCAGTCTATCTAGCGTTTACATTTACAATTATTTACACTTTGTAGCATAGTGGGTTATTCTAAGATCTTATTTTAACTCACCAACCCAAAGCCGTCCCGTGGGGTCACATTTGCCATCGTTGAATCGGTTATCGATTGTTTCTGGATCGTTCTCCACTTCGTAAATTTTCTCAACTTTGGATACATTGGAACTTTCACCATCCCACGTGACAATGGCCAGTTCTCTGCCGATACTCACCACGAATTTGTCCTTTTCGTCTTTCACTGGTATTATAATAGACACGTGATTTGTTCCTAAAATAAACTTGATTGATTAAGCGCAGTGAAGTACTTACTTTTATATAAGTAGGAATGAGATATTCACTGCCATACATTTCATAAAACCACATAGGCGTTTCGGCTACTTCTTTGAAAAAGTACATCCTGGTGGCCGAAACGTCAATAAAAAGTAATTTATACATATGTGGTTTTATTTGGGCAGAAAATCATAGACATAGACATCAACATGGAAACTACAGGATAAGTTTCAGGTGTTAAATTATCCATTTCCATGTCTACTTTTTTATTTATTTGGAATAACCCACAAATATATATATATATATATATATATATATATATATATATATATAAATATGACAGGTTAATAACAATCATTATGGTGATCAAGTGAAATATTCGAGCATGAGGCGCTTAGTGTCCCTCAAGCATGGTAGAATACGTCTCGCTCCAAATGAAACACTGAGTATAGGGGAGTCATTGCTGATGGAATGAGAAGAACTTTGAAATTCTATTTATACCAAACATATGCTGAACATAGGTCTGATGAGCTTTTATATTGTATAATGTATATAGGTATAGGAAGTGGAGCCTCCTGTTGGTGTAGACTTTTTGGTATTTGAAAATATTCTTGATTGTTTAAAGTGCTGTCGAATTTATATATCTAAAGGCGTTGAATGCGAGTGAGTGCAATATGGTTTTATTATTAGAAGTACAAGTACAATTTTAGTGAAAATAATCAAGTGGCCTTATTCAGTTTCTGTAGTTTCTGAATTTAAAACAAAGAATTGCTTCTAGTGGAAGGTGATATATTATAACCAGTTTCTGGAGAAACAGCTCAATAGTTGCCAAACTGGATCTCATATACAAGAGGTTTATAGAAACTTTTTTCATATTTTTAACGAGGAACCACCCTCCATATTACCCCCTTTTTTTTCAACCACTCTGTATAATAACTTCACAATGAATGAAAAAAACATCGAATTTTTTTATAGTTATCAAATTCAGAAGTTTTTATTTTGATTTGAAAACATCAAGTATCAGCAACGAGTTCTTTAAACTTGTTGATATCTAGGATTTGTCAGAGAACAGTTATACATCATTCAGTAAAATTCAATTTGTTTTTATAAATTCCAAATATTATCCAAATATCATTATAAATATAAATAAAACATCTTATTAAAACTAGGCAAACGCTTTTACCTAAACTAATTAAAAAAATTGACAAATATTATTAAATTGTTTGACTTGCAGCAGGTAAAGACACTTCATCGTTCATTAATTTCAAATAAATTGGTGTATTCAATATAAGTAAACGGATCAATAAATTTAATTAAACGATTGCGCTTTGGTTTCAACTAGTTTCAGTAAAGTGTTTTTGAAAACCAAGCTTAATAAGTTTAATTAAGCTTACGCTAACATTACGCTACAATGTTTGAATTGGCCTAATTAAAACTTTAATTGGTTTGATACATTTTTTCTCAGTGTAATGCTAGCGCTGTAATCTAGACATCGTCTGAAAAACTTTTCCAAATATACCAAGATCATCCTTATTCCTACATTTAACAACTTATCATTTTTGCTCTTTTTTATAGAAACATACAAGTATCAAGTACACGATCTCCGAGCTGCAGTTCACTCTCCTACAAAAAAAAAAAAAAAATAGAAAATCCAATAGTTGCTGGATGTATTTCAATGAGAAATGAACTTAGTAATTTCGGCAGACTAAGAGACAATGTTGCTGAAGATCAGGGCTTTATATGCGTCTTTTGGTCAACAAGTAATTTTTCTAAAATTTTGTTCACTCTGTATCTTCGAAACGAAGTATAAATAGCCTTAAGGTGCCCGTCTATTGAGAGGAATAGAAGCTAAGAGTCGAGAACGTAAACTTGCGATGAGTTCCTCTATAAGTAATCAAATGACAGCTCGCATACTTAAGTGACTCGGAGGCGATAGACGTCACTTTCGCGACGTGCAAATGGCAGACAAAGGTCGCCGCAATTCCCTTCACTTCGCTTCTCCTCAATGGGCGTGCAGGTGTAGAATATTCCAGTGTTACCCGTTGAAGATACCTTATACAGGGTGGCGCATCAAAAACGAAACAGACGCATTTACTGACAGCTCAGTTATTTTTTTTGGAAAAACCCGTCGACTTTGTTTTCGAGGGGGACACAAGTTTGGCAAAAAATCACCTGGGTGGGGATGACACCATAAATAAAATCTTAAATGGAAAGGGGGGCGAGTGATACCTTATTTTAAAGGTCTTTCAATTCCCTTTATAATGATGTAAAATACATGAGCTTCAGTTCAGTAGTTTTGAAGATTTATTAATTTAAAGCTTAAAGTAGACTTTAATAGGTACATCAGATTAGTTTGTACTACTTTCAGAAGAAATTTGATTGAAATAATTTACTTAATAAGTAAATGCTTTTCTTCAATACGCCCATGGTTTGTTTATCATTTTGTTGTTGAAAATAGCTATTGGAGCGTTTTTTTGTGACAAAAATGTTATTTCTTGAAGAAAGATAAGGAAATATCTCGTACTTATTTTAAATAGGAATTTGGTACATAGTTTGCGATTGATTTGACCAAACTTTGTTGCCAAAATAACTTGTAGATGTAGATCCTACGTTAAGTACCCGCAAATTGGAGACTGTGTGTGGTGTTAGTCGACGTACTGTCCAACGGATTCTAAAGGCCCATAGTTTTCATCCGTATTAAATTCACCTGGTACAAGAACTTAATGAAGACGATTTTGTTCGGCGATTACAATTTTGTGAAGATATGAGTGAACGAATTATAAACGATTAACATTTTCAATTCAACACTTGCTTTTCCGACGAATGTTCCTTTTTCTGAAATGGCGTAGTAAATCGTCATAACTGCCGATATTGAACCGATTCTAATCCCAGAATTTATCATAAGGTTCATACACAGCAGCCACAAAAATTAAATGTTTGGGCTGGTATTTTTGGAGATCATTTAGTTGGTCCTTTTTTCTTACCTGGAAATTTGTACGGTGAAATGTATTTATAGATCCTGTATTAACAGCCATAATTGAAAATCAGAATGATCGGCGGTACATTGCGAGTAGGTTGATGTTCCAACAGGATGGTGCCCCACCACATTACCCATTACGTGTTCGACAATATTTAGATCAGACGTTTCCAGATCGATGGATTGGTAGAAGAGGTGCCATTGAATGGCCCCAAGATCGCCAGATTTATCAACTTTATATTTCTTTATGTGGGGTCATTTAAAAAGAAAAATCTATGCTACTCAGCCAACATCATTAGAAGACCTGCGACAAAGAATTGTGAATGAGTGCCTTCAAATTACTCCTCAAATACTGCAAAATGTGCGGCAACGTTTTGAGCAAAATCTTTATTATTGCATGGAGAGTCATGGTGGTCATTTTCAACATTTACTTGCCTAACGGGTCAGTTCATTCTTCATTTTTAAATTACTTTGCTGCCACTAATGATGACGTATTAGTTTTATTTAAGCTTTAAATCAATAAATCTTCAAAACTACTGAACTGAAGTGCAGTAATTTTATATCATTATAAAGGGAATTGAAAGACCTTTAAAATAAGGTATCACAAATAAGGTATTCCATTTAACATTTTGGGGGTGATGTCACCTCCGCTTAGGAGGCTGCACGTGCTAACGTGATTTTTTGCCAAACTTGTGTCCCCGTCGAAAACACAATCGACGGGTCTGAGCGTTTTTTCAAAAAAAACTGAGCTGCCAGTAAATGAATCTGCCTCGTTTTCGATGCGCCACCCTGTATATTATAGACTGCTATACGAGTATGAAGTTGCGGGGAAGCTTTGCAAATCTACGACTCTGTATAAAAAGCAAAAACGGATATTTTTGTGCTCGACCTGGAGTATTGACAGCCAGTGCCTATGATATAATCAAC